TTACCCCCCCTTCGCACATTACTGAACTAAGTAGATTGCTACACTTTCACACACACTGTTTCAAGATATCACCGTCTTCTATCGTTTGTGGCGCTACTATATGAAACAATTTGTGAATAGGCGCAGAGTGTGGTGCTAGTATGTATACATGTCAAACCGGTAGCAAAAATAAATTACGAAGTGAAGTGCGCGATTGAAATTTATCATCATCAACTTGCATCAAAGTGACTTAGTTAAACAGCTTATGCTTTTTAGGAGAAAATTTTATTAAAAAGTGATAAAGAGAATTCTGGAATCGACGTCATTTGTAGTAGAATGCATGAATGCAACGACAAAACTTTAAAAATAATTATGATGATGTTTTTGAACGAGCTCCAAACAGACGAGAAACAGACGGAGAAAAATTGAATGGAATTTACATATAACACATTTAAAATATCGTTTCATATTAATTCAATCTTGTTATCTTTTCCATATCAAATAATATTTGCCGACATCGATTCCATCCCATTTTTCGTCAACGTCAATCAAATGAAACGATGTCACTCAAACGATGCGACAGACTAAATGTTATGTATTTCTTTTAGAAAAAATTAGTAATATCAATCAAGTTAATTGGTGCGTTGTTAAAATTTAAACATATTAAATAAATTTCAAAAAGTTTGTCAAAGAATATACATGGTAGTGTATCTTACATATATTACGGAAAATGGATCAAAAAGGAAAGAGTGTTAAGTTTGCGCACAAGTGCCATGGTTATATGTGTATGTTCTGATAGTTCCGTTTAGTGTTAATGACATGCCTATTTCTATGATTTTCGACTAATAGAAACATTTTCAGACCCATATGTGAACGTCGAAGAATTTTTGTGCATACATTTTTTGCTGAAAACAACAACAGCACCAAAAACACAGGCACAAGCAACCGAACGTTCTCTTAGACTAGTCATCAAGTAAACATAACATACACGATCGACTTCAGGGCCTTTTTTCCATTTTGCTGTTGTGAGTAAGATGCGTTTAACCAAACTTTCCTCAACTATCATGATTCGGAGTAAATGGCACAAGAGATTAATCGCAAGAAATGAAATAACTGATGATGAAGTTGGTGCTACGAGGCAGCAATAGTTTAGTGAAGTGTACTTGTTAACTTTTCGTCTATGATACACTTAAGAAAAGGAAAATTACAAGAACCAAGAACACAGACACACACACACATCCTCCATGGGAACATAAAGAAAAGAAAAGTTGTTTGCCGTAATTTTTATTTAAATTAAATACTTTTCAAATGCTCACGAATACGCATATTAATATGGAATACACGAATATCTACATTTTTACTGATGAAAATGCTATCGAACGGAAATTATGATGAGTCACACTTAAGTCGAAAAACATATGCTACATACACTTAAACAGACTATTCCAGAAATGCTTATTCAAAAACTTAAACACTCTGATTTCTTCAAAACTTTTCCTTGTTGCATGTATGCGCTTGAAGGACATTTTCCACGCCGCTTCAGCTCACTTCGATTGTACGAACAAATTTAATTTTCTGTTGCTTTTGCTAGACTAATAAAAATGATAATTATTAAATCGCTAATTATTCGAAATAAACCATTTAAAATGTTCATCAATTGACACATCGAAGCGTTATGAACGAAATGAAATTACATGCAAGTGCTTTTTGCCATACGTCACACAATATAATCATTTGCCACACCGAATTTGTATTGTAAAAATTTTTGCAAATGGACATGGTATGACATGCAAATGGCCATTCAATTGCTATAGTTCATTCTTCTGCCATTTCAAATTCATTTATTATATTAGCCCGTTTATTAATTTGCATTTCAATTGAATTGAAAACCATTTTCGTTCTCGCTCTTTATCTTTGTCGACACAATTCTCTTTGTTAGACACAAGAGTTAACTTCGAACATCGCGGCACAGTATAATTGGATTGTTGTTGGAATTGTGCAAAGTAGTGGTGTGGTGCGACAACAAAATTCGTCGCAACGGTTTTTAATCGATTCACATTTGGAATTGAGCAAACGCGGCTAGATGCCCGTCTAATGGCTGTGCCATGGCAGTTTTGTTCGTGATTGTGGTATGAGGTATCTCCTATTCTCAACGATAAAGAATGAAATAAAATCGAATTTTCATGACGTTACATAAAGATTGTCAGACGAAAGAAAAAATATGTTCGGTGTGGTTCTTATCTTAGTGGTTTTTCTAGTGCATACACTCTGTGATATTTTCATTGGCATTTTCTTCTTACTCATTCATTTTTCGCCTTCAAATTTTCCACTGATGCAATTATATTTGCTTTTTTATGGAGACAAAGTAATAAAAGTTGAACAGAAAATTTATGTTTTATTATGAGACAACGTTTAATGTCTTGTTGCGTAATCGGGCGATGTTTAAGCCACAAAAAAACAACTATATACTATACAATTGAAACAACAACAAGAACAATATAATCACAAACAAGAAAAATGACACAAGAAGAGATAGAGAAAAAGAGAATATGAATAACGGGCTTAAAAAAATAATGTTTACCTATGGTTGAACATAATAACATCAAAAAATTTCAAAGAGAGAGAGAGTCTGGAGGCGGAAAAAGACAAACGCATATCGAAGACATCGAGGAAAAATAAAACAAACTGAAAAATGAATAAAAATTGAACAAAATCGACGAACCAATTGGAGAGATTTAACAACGATAAAATTGCAACTAAAAGTGGCGCTACCGATTTTGCATACTGTCATTGCCACTGTTTTCCAATTCAAACACATATTCTTACACAATCACATTGCCCGAAGAGAATAACAAACCCAGTTCGAATACAACCGTCAGACCAAACACGAGCAACTTTGCTATAGCCATCGTCATCTTCTTCGACTTTTTCGACTTTTCGCAAACATTTCAATTGCAATTTGGATGCGTGCAGTTCGTTCTCTGTGTATGCAATTGTTAGTGCATGTAAATTTTCCATCGAATCCAATAAAAGCATAAAACGAGATTCGATGTGAAATACTATATTTGTGATTCGGTTGTTTTTTTTAAACTCTTTTTCTCTGTCTCCGCTCGGGTTTTTCCCTTTCGCTCAACTGCTTCCTTCCAATTTTATTTTATTATTTCTTTTGATTTTATTTCTCTGGCCCAGAGTTTCTACCTCCCTCTCTTTCACTCTCTCGTCTCTCGCTCGACTTGAATTCATGGCCTTTTTTGCTTTAAATTTTTATTCCATCGAGGCAAATTTTATGCATATATGAGTTATGATTGATGAAGTTCTAACAAAAGCCGTCTCTATGTGAATATAGCGTTTTTTTGGTTGGCTGTCTTTACCTACGTAATGCATAATGTTCCACTCAATCGACGAATAACGACAAATTCACCGCATATTCACTAGCTCTCAAAATGTTGGCCTCTCACTTGACAATGGATTTTTCATTCATCGTCGCAATACTTTTTCCGATCGTCAAACATACATTTTTCTTTTGTAAATCTTAACTTCATATTTTTCTTTGGAATCGTGGTTACTTCTGCTGTTGATGGTGATGGCGATGACTTTTTCTTTCTTCTCTCACACTCTTATGATGCTATTTGTTTGGTTTACATGACAAATACACTGAGCACATTTTCAAACCAAAACATGAATTAGAAATTCACCGTTCATAGTAGCTACAGCGTTTTTATTTTAATATTTTATCTCATAATGCATTTTAAAGTTTGGCAAATAATATGGATTTTTGGTGTATGAATATGATTGAGTGTAGATTTGCTTGTACAATTCCATACACGGTTTCACCCGAAAAAAAAGAGAATATATAATCATATTCAATATTCAACTATACCAATGATAAACTACAAACTGACTCTTTAGCAAGGCATAAAAACATCCATTGAATGTTTATTCAATTGAGAGAGAAAATGCGCGCTTGAGAGAGAGAGAGAGAGAGAGAGAGAGAGAAGAAAAACTCACGGATAGAAGGAATTTATACAAACCATAGATTTTGATGAAATGGTAACAACATTCATGCAGTCGCCGCGAATTGAATGTTCAATGAAATACCACAACGAATTTCTCACAAGAATAACAAACATACACACTCACACATACACATAAAATATATTTTCTGCATATCACGTGCCATACGTACAGGGCTGCAGTTTTGTAAATATTCCAAACGCTGCATTTTGTTGTTTGCCTCACGTCGTTACTCGTTCGATTGTGCTGAAAAAAATAAAGAAAGAATTCAAACGGCAAAAAACGAATCTTGTTTTCAATTTGCTCACCATAAGATTGTGTACGTTCATGCTATTACTATACCTGTGCAAAACTTCTGACTACAGTCATAGCAGTATTGCCGATTTGCCTCAAGCTTCGCTGCAAATAAGTCGAGCGCAATTTTTGAAAAAGGCGACGAAGCAAAAGAATGAAGAGCGCCAACAGAATAAAAAATTATAAATATAAAATCTCATAAAAATTTATAAGCGGCACGTGATGCCCCATTACTCCCATTTTGGCAGAGTCAAGTTGAACCGGCGAAGCAACCGGAATAATGAGGGCGAATTGTTGTTTTTCTCATCTCCTCAAAAACGAAGAAATTGGCCAGATGCAACGTCAAAACTCAATTTACACTCCCGGCTATGTGATTTTATGATGATGCCAAATAAATTTCAATACGAACCCACACTCGTTCGCATTTTTTCTCTGTTTATTCGATATGCTTGGGTTTGGAACTTGATTAATACACGTCGATAAGGGTCTTAATCAGTATACCGAAAATTGCATCCACTTCTAAGATATATGCGTGTATTTGGCACTTAAACGATATGTCCTTTTTTTGCTCAACATATTCATCTTTATTTTCTTCTTTCGATTTCATTTTCATTTTCTTTCGTTTTTTTTTTTCGTTTCAGGTACATGTCTAAAAGATTTGAAAATTTATGTGCCCGAAGCAGTTGCTCTCGGCGATGCAGTGACTCTATCCTGTTATTACAACTTAGAAAATGTAAGTATAGAATCGAATAAAATCAAATCGAAACGACAAATGCACACGCAAACACACAGATCTACAAATACACACTCATTGCTTCATCTCGTTGGCCGTCAATTTTACAGCAACAAAACTGAATTTATTGCAACAATTAAGATATTTATTTCAATTGTGTGTATCTGAAGCATGAGTGACGACAATAATATGTATGTGTGAATGTGTGTATTTGCACTCATCTGATCGTGTATGTGGCGTGCGTATTTGTTTGAATGTGTTGAATGAGCGTTTGAGATAAATGGGACCCGCAATTTGTGAAAAAATCATTTTCTCCACTTTTTCTAGTTGTGTGTCATTGATTGATTTTTCCGCTTGTAAAAGATTCTACAATAAAAAAGCGGAAATAAATAAAATTCCATTTCGCAACCAGATGAGCACGTTTCACTGATTTACAAAATCAACTGCATAAAATTGAACATGTGAAAAATAGAGAAACGAATGTATACAAGTTGTAAAAAAGAAAGCAACACAACAATTGTAGATGCAGTGCACATTGCGAAATTTCAATACGAATACGGGCCACCAGTATATTAATATTTCTTAAGCTAAAATGCCAAATCCAAATGTTCACAACACCAATGATCCGAGATTTACTATATAATGAACGAAATAAGTAAGTTGGATGGAAATAAAGAGGGATGAGATAGAGTGGTGTGTGTGTGTGTGTGTGTGATGATAGACTCTATGTTTCCAATATGTTTTGCTATATCATTCAGTAAAATAATTTTCGTGTTTGACACTCAACTGTGTGGGTAAAGTGACAGTTTACAGTCAATTTTGATTTTGATTTCAATTTATGCTCGAATGCATGCATTGCAAATTGTTTTCCATTCATTTGCCCATCGAAAGAAGCACTGTTTATTAGGGAAACCATTTCAATTTACAACTCAAATTCAGTTGATGTGTGAAATTGAAAATAAGCCGATAGGCTCATATTTACAATCGAGAAAAATATCGTGATCTTTACACCGTTAAAGGCGAAAAAAATCAACAATTTTGCTTTCGATATTTTTCATTTGATTAAATTTAACATTTACCCTGCACGAAAGTTCTTCTTGTTGTCATTTTTTTACATTTTGGAGATTTTGTGAAAATTCAATTTTTCACCAACGCTCGAATGACAACATTAACAACCAAAATTCGGTTACAACTTTATTTGTGGAAATTTTTCGCGCTGTTCAAAATTCGTTTCATTACATATTGCTTGCTCGGAGAGTTGTGTGTAATATGGCGCGAAATAATCGGATTTTTTCTGTCGGTGTTTGTAATTTTCTGTGAAGTAAATTGAATACACGTTGAATCCAATCGATGTCATACATAATAATAACTGAATGAAATAAAAAAAAACAATCAAGTTGTTGCTGTAGCTAAAACCCTTTTCCCAGCTGTGATGCCATCGGGTGTCGAACCCGTGTCGAATATCATTTCAATTGTCGTATTTGAAGATTTAAACAGACACTGATTTAACGCTTTACTTCAATCGCATTTTTTTGTTGGTGTTCTCAACTCAAATGCCACTGTTTCCGTCGTGGCGCGTCAATTTTTTACATGCCTTTTTTATGCGGCATACAAATACACTAGAGTGGATCAATTTTGAGATTTTTTCGAAAAACAAAAATCATGTCTGAATAATCTCGGTAAAAAGGGTCAAAGAAACACGAGTATGATTAGATATTTTGAAAAGAAAATAAGATCACAAGCTTTCACATTGATTAAATTACATGCCAATTTTTGATTCGAAATTGATCGTAATTCCCAAAATGTATGTTTGCAGTTAAATAATCCTGTAAAATTGTGTGAATCTCACTGCCTTACAAAAATACACACAATCAACAAGTTTAAAGAAATTTCAATGAAAAATAAGGGTACCTACCTAGGGGCTTTTATCTTCAAATGTATACGATTTATACTGTAAATAGTGAACTATATTGCAAAATCATCTGTAATACGCGCAAATAAATGTGCATAACTGCATATATTTGGTGTAAATTTCGTGTATATTTCGTCTATGGCATGTTTTTTCATTCTCTTTTGTGCGGATCTTCTTCGATTCTGTGTAGCTATACTGTGTATGTGTGTACACTGCAGTTTAAAATACACCTTATTCACTGGTATAGGCGAGAAATTTTAATCGTATATATGATGAATAGGACGTGAATATTGTGTATAAATTTGTATGAACGAATGATGAAAGCCCCTAGGTACCTACCATATGGCATTTTTGATTTTTGGTTCAAATATTATTATTTGGCTCCTTATTTTTCCTAGGGGGGAGACACCAAATAATAAATTTCGAATCCACTATATAAATTACTAATCCAGCTATTCCAATAATCCAAAAACACAAATGTGACATCAAAACTATTTTTCCTATTCCATGCACTGTTTCGCTATTCCACGTGAATCCATTCACAGACATGGCTATTTCATTGCAATTTCTCGAATCTTGACACTAAAAGTCCAATCTCATTCCACGTGTCTGCCCCCTAGTATTTTTCATCGAAATTTCTTTAAACTTTCTTTAAACTTGCTTTAAACCTGTGCAAATTTTCAAAGTGCTCATAATACATAAAATCTAAAGGGGTCAAATCCTTGACATATGTCTGACTATATAGTCAGAGATTATTTAGATACGAATTTTATTTCTCAAAAAAAAAAAATGAGAGAATCGAACCACTCTAATATACACATATTGTGTTGATCGAAAGCCGTAAACATTTTTAGTATTACTTGATAGTGTTGCCGTTAACGCTGCTTGCTTGTATTTAAAACTGTTTCAGAGTAAATCGGCTTAAAGCAATTCGGTATTTATGTTGTATGCAAAATGCTTGTACCTCATCTCAAATTGAAAGATACGTACGGACATTTTTTTAAGCAAAGCGAACAAATTTTTTCCTGCGTGAATGTGTGCGCGCCCGAGACCAAAGCGCTCCAGACTATATCTTATAAAATAAATAGAATTATAAATATGGTTCGATAAATGGTGTGGTTAACAAACAAATCCTGACAGCAATAATGTCAACGTCGACATCATTTAACTGCCAAATATGCATATGGTGCCCACATTCTTGAGCTGATGGTACTTCAGAGAAGGTTGTACCATCTCTTTCTCTGTTTGTCTCTGTCTTTCCGTTTTACTTCATATACACACACACACACACAGAGAGAGAGAGAGAGAGTGCTTTTAAAAGCACAACTTTTGCGACATCGAATGCGCTGTGATTACGTGGAAAATATTCGAAATACCAATAAATCATGGTAGAATTTTCGCAAATCTCTTCGTCATTTAAACAATGGATTTGTTTACCGTAAAATGGTTGAATAAATGGAAATTCAATGAAGGCGACTAAAGGTGTTTACCAAGCGAATTTGGATTGAATAAACAAAATCAAAGCTATCTTCCACTGTTGGAATGAATTACTGAATTACTCTCCGTCTCCATGTCGCTGCTAGAACTGTAGGACGATTAAATCACAAGCAATGTGTTTTTTCGTAAGCTTGATGAAAAATTGCACGAGAGAGAGAGAGAGAGAAATATATCCGGAAAGGATGCGGAAGAAAAAGAGAAAAATGAACGACTTAAATATCGAAAATAGAACAACGGAGAAATTGTAAATGTGAAAAGTTTATAAGAAGCTAATGTGAGGTTGAATTAAAAGTTGGAAGAAATTTTCTGCGTGGAATTTGTTAGTGTGTGTCTATGTGTATGAACATTTCACATTCATATTCTTCCGTAGTTTATTAATCGTATTATGCACAAAATTTGTGGATGGCATTTTTTCATATCACACATACATCCTCCATGTAGTTGTAATGTGCATGTATATACATGTTATTCGTGGCAAAACGTTTCAAATGATTCTTTCTGCTCATAAAATAGTTAATAAATTAAAACTTATTATTTTTTGTGTCATTGTATAGTGTATGTGTCGCGTAGTATTTCTTATGCACGTACGTTGCAGTGGTGTAGTCCTTGCCGTCATCATCATCATCATCGTTGCGTTCATTTTTTATACGTTGCAAAACTTTCAAAACGTATCTGAATGAACGAAGAAAAAAAAACAGTGCAACGAGAAAGAAATAGAGAAAATAGCAGATGCCTTATCGGAAACATAATAATTTTTCCCGAGAGCTTATTGCTACAACTAAATTCGTAGCATTCACATTTTCCGATAGCAATGATTCCACAACGCAATCGCTTAAAATTTATGATTTCGTAATTGTTTGTATACTTTAGGTCATAAATTTTGGCAAAAAAAAACACAAATCAATCGATTGAAATGTCAATTTCGTATTCGTGGAAAATATTCAAAACAATTATTCAAAAATGCATGGAACCTGAAATGTTCTAAATGATTTTATTCATTTGATTTCAGTGTTTCGACAACACAATTTCCAACAAAAATTCATATATGTAATCAACTAACGCGTAATCGACATGACATTCTGATGCTATTTTTTTATTATTTTGACAGAAAAAAACATTTCGAACGAAAGTTGTTCACACTTTTTTTGAAGCGTGCGTTTATATAAAACTGAAAATGGGCCTTCGACACCAAATGGGCAAAAACCTTTACCTTCCTGTCGTTTTTAGTTTTTATCATTGCAAATCGATATTTGATGCAAACGCGCCTGATACAGCCGAACCGATTGACTTTAACTTAATTTGCCATTTCAATGTTCCCTTCCGAGTTCATAGGAATTTTTGGTAATTATTTTGTTCATTTGCCGCCGGCCGTCACTGTCTGGGTGTGAATGTATTAAAATCGGTTCCTTTAGCAATAAAATGAGAACAAAACTACAATACTATCATGCCGATTAAATGCGAAATATGAAATGATGAGAACATTTTCAGGCCAATTATAACAAATTAAAAAAAATCAAAATCACACACACACACACTCCAAACTATTCATACCTTCCGTTTTCCGGCTTGCAATTGAAAAGTCGATCATCATTTTGAAATGAAAAACTTATAATATTGTGCATGTACATCCGTTCGTTGTTAAACTGCATAGTGCATAGAGTATATTTTAATGCATTGCCGAAAAATGTCTTGAAAAACCATGCACACCTTCCAAAAAAACTATACGAAAATGAATGACACAAAACTCTCTCTGTGAACGGATGAACATACTGAGAATGGCAGAACGAACGAGAAAAATCGTTTTTGAATACTTCAGAACTTTTGCACTTTACTATAATATTCCAGCTAAATCTTTGAAAGGATTTCATTTTGCACAACATTATATTCAAATGGCATATAGTATTAAACACTGGAAACGGTGGCAAGAAGCAACTCTGTCAGTCAGTAACAGGCAGCAAAAGTGGTAGAGAACAAAAAAAAAATAGTAGCGCCAGTCTTAAGTCGGTAAAAAAAGAAAGACTGCCGAACGAATATGGAAATGTGAAGCGATGACGTTGCCGCCGGATAAAGCTGGATCAAAACTATACGTTTTTTAGCTTGTGCTTCTTTAATCCGAAAAAGCCACAAGAATTTTCTATTTTCTACTTAAAAAGTTGGTTTTTAATGAAAACATAAATTGGCCAATACACAAAGTTTTCCATTTTCCTGCTTCTGATGCTACTGCTCGCAGTTCGGTGCAAGTAGCGATGTACAGAATGTATCTATCAGTCTTTCGTCGAATATTTATGTATGAATATGTATGAATGTGTATGTATATTAGAGTTGTGTGTACAATTTTAGCTTAGTTGTACGATTAAATAGACTTATAAACGTTTTTCCGGTTGTTTTACTTAATATTTTAATAAAAAGTAATATTTTTTAAGGCTTCATTGTATTCGGTTCGTTGGTATCTGGAACAAGAGGAATTTTATCGATTCGTACCAAAAGAATCGCCTCCATCGAGAGTATTTGCTGTTGCCGGTATCTCTGTTGACGTAAGTTTTCCATCTACTTGAATATTATTATTGCTTAGCTCAAAAACTTGTTTACATTCAACAGATTTATTTTCGATTACAAATATCTTATATATCGAAATTCAGAGTGTATATGAAATCATTCTCTTCACTCAGTCATGTGCTTGAGTTTATGTAACGGTATGCGCGCTCACCTGAAGCACCAAAAAGTGATTTGTTGAAGTTTACAACTATAATGAAAACTCAACAATTTTGCCGCAAATCAAATAGTTTAACATGGGAATGGATTATGTGCAAATTGACTTTGGCGAAGCACTCAACAAGCAAAAAGCGTTACTATACGCTTGAATGTGAACAACGAATCAAAGATTTATTGAAAACAAAAAAATAGGAATAGCTCTTCAGATAGATTATTTGGTGTGTGTGAAAAATACTACCAATACCAAAACCAAAAACACGAACACGAACAAGAACAATAGTCATAAAAATAATAAAGCACAAATCGCGAACCCTGTTGAGATATGGCTTAAAAATATAGGCAAGTAGAAAAGTTGGAAGAATGAAACGAAGTATAAAATCAAAAACAAAGGAATGGCACAAGATTAAAAAAAAAAGAAATCACTAAAGAAAAAGTATGGCAAAAAAATTAGCTTAACTCAGCGCAAATGTTTGCTTCGTTTTACTTATATAAATTCAGTTACACCAGAAATTTATTTAGACTACTAAAATTATGTATATTATGAAACTTCCTGTAATTTAATTTTTCGTCCGGTATATGCAAAAATTTCCATAACTTAGCCGAGCTGAAATTGTTCACATGTATACGGCATAACGCGTTTCAATGCGCACAATTTTCATACTACCACCCTTGAAACGGGATGAACGATGGATCCTTTGCACTGCAGGCACTGTTTTATATGCTACTGTGGCTGTCGCCGACGAGAAGCCACGACATAAACACACTGGAATTGCGATTGAGAGAAAGAGAACGAATGATCGAAGGAAAAGGGCGATGCGATGTTTACAAGAATAGCAATGGCATAGACAAAGGAAACGAACAACACACGAGCTGCTCAGAACAATTTTTTTTTAATTCGCATTTTGTTAGTCGTTTTGCCTGTTGACGACGTTTCTTGAGAATTGGGAAAAGTAGGAAACAACAATTTTTTTTCTCCTGCTTGCTCAACGAAAAGAACCATAAAACATCGTAATACGTTTGCTAGAAAAATTTAGTAAAAACAAAAATAGAGGAAAAGATTTTGGTAACCACGTACCACAGAGCACGAGCATGTGTGTGTGTGTGTGTGTGGGATAAATAGAGACGAGCCAAACCAAAACAAACCAATTCAAAATGAAGCGACGGAAAGAGAAAGGATCACACGTTTAGCGCGACTTCATTTTGCATTGTATGCAATATAACCGCTGAGCTCGAGCGCTTGCACATACCCACACGCATACACACACAAACAAACTTGACAAACTTTAATATTAATGATAATCTTCTTGTACGTTATGCTTATGGGTAGCAGCCAAAAAATGCTAAAACCAGACAGAGTGAAAAAAAGCAAAGGATCCCGTACATGTTGGAGAAAAAAAAATGCGCGCGATGTACATCATAATGACTTTCATTATTATATGACGAGCCAAAATATTCCCAGTATGAGCCTGAGGATACTTTGGAAAGTGATCCAAACGCAATGTATTCAAATGCGCACATAAAATAACATACAGTGTATCAAATATCTAGCACGAGCCAAGCATCAAATATTTTTCAGTCGATGTGGGAGGAGTTGTTAAGTCAAATTAACTTTGGCCAGAGTTTTTCAATCGACAAACAATTATTATTAACAACAAATCAGTCATTTTGATTTGATGAAATTCCAATCATTACTCGATGTATCGAATGGCCGTTTTAAATAACAAACTTCAAATTATTTTGACGAAGTGAATCCAAAATTGGTTTTCAACTCAAAATGGTCATCTATATGAATAATGAATGAAATTTGATGGGCTTAATTTAAACGATGGCCAACAGTGAACAACAGCGTATTCAGAAAATATTGCGATTATATATATAAATATATGCATGTGTGTGTCAGAAATTAAGGTCCTTTTGTCTTCAAGATCAAAATCCAAAGCTTACTCATTCGATTTCTGGGCTATTTGAAGACACAAACGCCCATTATCTGCTGCAGAATACAATCATTGTAACATCAGATTATCGTTATATATCGAAAATAGATCGAGAACCAAACATTGAATCCATACATGTATGTGTGTATGCTTTGTTATGCACAATACAGCATCTACAAATTGTGAGTAGTGTAATTTAGCAGTAACCCATACTGAAAATCGTTCGAAATAAATTTTGATCTACCTTGGCTCCGATTGACGACTATTTGTGAGCCACATATTCCGTGTGTGAGAAAATGTCGAGCTCAGCACATCCATATATGCTTCTTCTCAATTGTACACACGCACGCACACACATTTTGAACCATAACCGAGGCCATATCGAAATATGCTAAACACCATCAATGCCAATGTGCAAATGAATTGAATCACGATTAAATAACACCAAGAGGTTTGTGGCCAATGTGAAGAATAACGTTGACGCTGCACAGCAATGTTGGGCTCACCGATAACAGCATAATTCCATGAAGATTACAACGTCAAATATCAGTGATTGTAGCTGCCAGAAGAGAAAGAGAGAGAGAGAGAGAGAGAGAGAGAGAGAGAGAGAGTCAATTCCAAATGCGATGAATATATTTCTTAGATTGAAAGATTACATGCATGTGCTCTTTCTGTGTAGAAAAGTATAGGGTTTCAATACTGCCGCCAGAATCGTATGTTATGTTCGAATCACATGCTTCATCGCATGTTGATCTTCACGCTGCTTACGGCATGTTTCCAAATTGAAAATCAAAGTTACTTAAGATACATCAAACAGCATATACAGCCGAAAGTTTTGTGTACATTAGCATACTCTTTCACGCTCGGCCCATTCGCTCAATTTTTCTCATTCATTCATTGATTCATTGATTCGCTGTTGTTGTTTCACCGGCCTCAACATTAGGCATAATTGCTGCATGTGTATATCATATCATATCGTCTTGACAACCAGAGCCTATTTCTACACATTCTCCTCGTTCCGTTTCTCAATCGTCTGTAACCGAGTAATTTGGCAAATTTATAAACAAAAATCGATAAGACTTTGATTAATAGACGAATATCATGGCAAGACGAATTACTATATGCAAAGTGCACAATTGGCAAAAATGATTGACTCAATCTATCGTAATGGAGCATATTCCGGAATGCATTGATTTATTCCCCTAAAACGTTCTTGCACACAAATAGCAATAATAAACTTCATCGTTTCATCTTTATTTTCACAAACTCAATCAAGTTATGCAGGTTAGCAGATTAAATAGCAATGTATGCAAACAAAAACCCAACAAACGAACTGAAAATAAAAACTGCCAAAGAAAAAGCACGAACAACTAAAGGGTGTTTTTTTTTTCGTCTGATAGTTTTTTAACTTAAAATAAATCATAAACCAGTTTTAATTTAATCATGAAATCGACTTTATTTGGTTAATATGATAATGGCAATTTTGTTTTAAAGAAAATTTTGGGTAACGGTCTCCACAGCTACATTTTACACAGGCCAGTAATTTAACCAAAAGTGGGCTTCGTCGAAAAGGATGATTTTTCGGTATATTTCCGTATCATTTTGGAGCTTCTGCAGGGCTCAACCGACGAATGTGCGGTGCGTTGGATGGTTATGCCACTTCAGTTCTTGTACCAACTGGACTTTATAGGCCTTCAGACCAAGATATTTTCGTAAAATTCCGGACAAAGACCAACTTGTTGTGCACGGCGTTGAATTGAAGTGGGTCTTTGTCCGGAATTTTACGAAAAGATCTTGGTCTAAAGATCTATCAGACGAAAAAAAAACACCCTTTAAAACGTCGAACTTTTCCTATTCTTTCAACGACGAAATTGTTTTTCTTTCGCATTTTTTCACTTGTTTAAAATGGTAAAGGCCTTTCATCAACTTTACTGCAAACAATTCATTTTGCTCCATGGAATGTATTTTGATTTTCAATAAAAGCTCACTCAATCTTTTTTTCTCGACCTGTCTCTATCGCTCTCATCCTGTGACGGCTAGGCCTCGTTTACTCCATCCAATTTGCTTACTCAGCTCACAGATTTATCACTTGCACAGTGCACACACAAAACTTTGCGGATAGAATGTACAATGTACGTATACATGAATTCTTGTCCTCTGCTGTACTCATTCCTCATAATCATCAACATTCAATTCAATTATGTAAATTTTACCATAGAAATTTTGAGTTTTGAAAATTAATGCGGTACAAAAACCAAAAGACTTGTCCGCTGGCACACTCATTCATTTATCTAAAAAGTGCTCTGTTAATGTAAAAACAAAACCAAAAGAAATGATGGTAAAAAGTGTAAGTGAGTATATGTACAGTTCACAAATTCCCTGTAAACACACGTTTTTGAGTGAGAGAGAAAAAGTGAATAAAAAATCACATGGGAAATTTTTGAGAATGAGATCGTGTTATTAGTGCTGCGTCGGTCGCTCGAAATGTATAAATATGCATAAAATATCCGTGATTGTTGCACGTACTCATTTGGGAGCTTCATCAGCGAATGATTTTGATTTGTGTAGTTGATGAACAACCACGTGCTTAAGTTCGTCGTTGTTTTAACACTGCACTGTTCATTAAGCTTTTGTGTGCTGTATATATACAATGGTGTGCGTGCGCGAGCGCTCGCTTGGTCGATCCTTCGTTTCGAGCGAGCCATATCCTTCGTGATTCTCAGACGAAAATCAGGTATAATACAATGTCGACAGGTGCCTAGACAAAACAATCCATTCACTTCCACTCTGTTAATAATGAAGGAAAACACCTTATCGCAAAATCCAATCTAATGTACCATGGTGTATGAAAGTGAGCGCGTTCACGCGAATTTTGATTTCGTTTTTTTTCACGCCCGCTTTTTCATTCAATTTCCATGAATTAATTCAATTATTTAAAATTAGAACCATGAAAGTATAAAACAAAATACAGCCAAAAAATAAACTTTCGCTTTCAATTAGCAAAATAAAAGAGAGAAAGAGAGAGAGAGAGATAATGAGAGCATTTTTTGTTGTTGTTTCTCTAATTATTATTATTATTAAAATGCAAATGATTTCCAACATAATAATTCATACAAATAAACGCATGTATTTGTCACATTATATATTGTGTGAAATACATTATTAGCGCGTTTTTAATCACGAACAACAGGCGGTGTACGCAAATTCGTGCATCGTATTTGCTGTTGCTATGTTGCATTAATTAATTTCATATCAAAGTAAGGTGTTTTTCAAAAGCAACAAACAATTATTATTGTTCTTTAAATGTATCGTCTCAAGAACCATGCATTTCCATATAGATATTTTCCATCATCCACCATGATATTTTTCTGTTTTTTATAATTTTTAAATTGCAATTATGTGTCAAAAAATGACTGACGAGATGAAGACCAAAACGTAAAACGATGACATATTGATATTTTGATTTTGTTTATCCGCATGCACGCCCACAGTTAACAAAATCCAATGAGCATACGGTGACATTGCGTTCGGTGTCCAGAATCATCTCCGGAAAATATCAATGCGAAGCATCGGCTGATGCGCCACTTTTTCATACCGAGACCAGTACAGCTAAAATGCTTGTCGTTGAATTACCTTCGCACAATCCTGTGCTCACCGTGTCTAATAACAACAGTAAAAATGGTATTGCAATCGGTGAATTATTGAAGGCAACTTGTATCAGTTCACCATCTCATCCGCCGGTGAATTTCACATGGACCATAAATGGAAACATATGGCCGGTAAGTATGGCCATTGAAACGAATGTGCACTGAGAAAACAGAGTTAAGATTCGTAATCGTAGATAAGTGGATGTGAGTTAAATGTTTCATGAATCCAAGCTATGTATTCTCAGTGTATGTTTGTTTGAAAGAAGAAATGCAAACATTTCCCTTCGCGATTAAGTTGTTTTGTGAACTTGTTGTTATCAAAACACTTATATTGCATTTGTTTGTTTATTTATTTTGTCAAATCTGTTGTTTGTTTCTATTTTAGTCGAGCAATGTGGGCTTGAGATCGATGCAAACCATCGAGATGAATACAGTGATACCAAACAATGATTCCGATGCGAATGCAAAAGAGGCATGGTCGGATATGATTGTTCGCATCGAAAATCACATGCTCATTCCGGACAATCGCAAGATTTTGATACGTTGTGAAACGAACATTTTCAATTTATATCGTGGCGCTGTTGAAGCTGAACTTAAAATCAGCGATGATTCGATTTGGTTGCATGGCGGCAAAGTAAGCCCAACGACACAATTAACAGATCCACGAAGCAACAGTGGTGGAAATGGCGGTAGCAGCAGCAGCAGCAGTACTTCAAAAAATGGCGGTGATCCAGATAATTCTGCGTTACAGGCTGGCGCGGGCTATCGATTGAATACATCCTATATTTTATTGCAACTTGTTTTTTTGCTTCTTATCACACCGCTGGCACTATCGTAAAAGCAATGAACATTCAACCGTATACATGCCCCCGAGTAATGTTTAATGTCGAACGACTGTGTCCACCGGTGTCGGTCATACTGGACCATTATTTTTGGCACCAAAACAACAATTACGACAAATAATTTATTTTATTACACTTGAAATCTTCGATTTGTGATTACACAAACACGAATACGGAATACCATTTCTTAATCATGTCAGTTTTATGCGCTAAACAACCATGATCATACTAAACTAACAACTAAAATAGCAACAACAAAAATCCTCTTATATTTTCATATTCCCGAACGGCACGAAAAATAATAAAAACAAAATATTTAACCATTTATTTCATTTATTTGCTAGGATTGATGGCTAGGAATTTATACATTAAAATCCCATAAGCGTAAGTTGTAAGTATGATATAAGTTAACTGTCACAACAGCTCCGCAATACATATTTGATCAGAGCATATACTAAGCATAGATATATATCCTGGATATTTTGTCAGTATCCGATATTCATTGGAGCCAGACTTTGAAATAGAGTAAAAACAATAGAAGTTATTGTTATAGTGATTGTAGTAATGTAAATGGTTTTATACTTAGACCTATAACAATCACTTCTATTGTTTTCACTCCATTATAATGTCTGGCTGCGATAAATATCGGATACTCACAAAATATCCCGGATATATATCTATGCTCAGTATATGCTCTGTATTTGATGTATAAATAGTATATGTTCCAAACGAGAATCACGTGGCAGCTATCGAACGATTGAATAGCACTCTGGTACTACTGTATGTTTGGTATGCAATAAATTGATGACAAATTTTTGAGCACATGAACTATCCAATTAAACATGTATTAAATAATTCAAGCTATATATATTTAGTTTACCAATGAGTTGGTGCGGCAAATAAAACTACTTTGCCCAAATGAAATTGTAAATTAAATTTTAAAAAAAACCACACAGAGACAGACAAAAATACATACATTTTGAAAATTGTCAGGTATATTATTAAAATGAATGAGAGTCAATGCAAGCGAATGAGAATGAGACAGTTTGTTCTACTGGGAGGTCAAATCAAATTGAACGATAGATACATCGAAGTAAATTCTCGATGGAGTTCACGTTTGCAATTTCATTTTGACAAAACGGTTTAGTTCGTTTTGTCGTTTCCCCTTCATCACATCAATAAAGTGATATTAATTAATTTATATTCGAATGTTAAATGGCAATTTTATGTATGCTCATTCTTCTGCTAAAATATCAACTTTGATTTACAATTTTGAAAAGAAAAATGGATGGTGTTAGTGGTGGCGGATGCGGTTTCAGTGGCATAAAAGACACACAAGGAAAGAGCGAACGAAAGAAAGAGACGATTCCTTTCAATTTCAACTTTATCACCTCTTTAATAAATTATGTTGTGCACATAGTTTGCTGGTTCGGTTAGTTGGTTTTTTTTTTCTCTCTCTCTCTCTCTCTCTTTCTCGGTAAAACTGTGCCTTCACAGACCCACTCACTATCAAAATCTGATGCTCACACACCGACCATATTGAGACGTAGTTAGCGCTGGATGAAGATTCTCTGCTTGCACTCTGTTTGCTCACAATTATAAAGTTTTCTAAAGAGCTTATCTCTTAACGTCTGTAAACCGTGTATAGTCATTTCTGCCGCTGATTCTGTTGCTATTTCTGTTATATTTGCTGCAATATTGTAAAAGGCGTCCCCAACTTTTCCTATAGACAAACATACATTTATCAACACATAAACTAAATGACGAGCCACACGAAAAGTTTTGAGCAAATAAAACCTATTCGCCACACGTTATATTCATATTACTATCGGCTATAAGAGCAAGATTTTGGCCATAATGTTCTGGTTGCCTCTCATCGATCTATTTCGAAAGTTAAATTTAGTTCGTCTCTCTTTTTGACTTTTCTTCTTTGGCTTTTCTCTTTCGCGTGCGTACCCGCTCCTTTTCTGCCTCTTTCGCTCACTTTCTCATTCACCACTTTCTTTTGCTTTTTTTTTTTTTTCATCAGCCATGTAATTTCGTTTGGCTATGTCTGCAATAGGTATGCATTTTGCCATGAGCGCAGAAATATTTTTTTTACCTCATCATCTTGTTCCTCATTTTCTCCGGTGAGTATGTGTACACCTGAAGTGATGGCATTTTCAATGTATAAGTTCATATATTTATCCATTTTTGGTTCAACATTCACAAAATTTCTCTTACACACACACACACACACTCTATCTCATTCTCAACAGTTACCGTTCGCCAGTTGTCTATTTTTCACGTGTAAAATACTGAGGTTGAGAAAAGTTCACAAAGTCAGTGGAATACTTTTCACACTTACTCATGAAAACCGTGCAAATTGCCACACGTTCATGATCATATGTGAAACAAATACACACCTACATACAAAACTAAAATAGAAGGAATAGATTGAGAGGTGGCCTGGGATGGTGGAATGTGCAAAAATACACAATCAATTTAATATAAATAAGAACGATTCGATCCATCATGTATACACCTATTAAAGTGCGTTTGAATCGTATATTCCAAAATAAATGAATATGAATTTGTATTACGATTTAGGATGTCCGAATGTTGATCCAAATCCCTGAGCAAAACAAGTCGATGTACGTTATATACATACATATTGTGTAGATGAATGTACGAAAGAGAGATAGAGAAAGATATTGAAAGAATGAATACATTGTTTGGCAAGTCGGGAGAGTAACGAAATGTAAGTTCATAGTTTTAGTAATGGCTTTACGTTTAAGTTGGTTGCCGGATGGAAGACGCAATCGTTTCGTCGGTAAGCGTTACCACATCTGATCGAGAGTCATAGGATAAACGAAATGAAGTAGTACCATGGCAAAAAGTCAGTTAGAGGAAGTGTATAGATTTTAAGTTGGTCATCACAAGGAATACCAAACACATACAAATATATATAATTTTAAGAAAGTTTTGAAATTCAAGCGGTCATTGGTTAGAACCAACCATTACTATATATATATATATATAAATATTTAACTGTGTGTCTCTGTTTATATAAAATGTGTATGCTTACTCGAATTCGAATTGTACATACATGTGATGGATAACATTTTCAAAAACAAAAAAACTATTATTAAATTGTGTATGTGAACGCGTTTGCTGCGGCATTTGGATGAATTTGAAAAATTCGATAAATAATAATTAGAAATATATAGAACATTTACGAAAAATATGTAAATCAGAAATGTCGAATATTTCGAATGCATTTTACGCAATAAAACGCCGAAACAATTTCATAAATATAAATTGAGCACACTCCGAGATTTGAATGAATTCGATATAAAATCATTTTCAGTCACATTTAGAGAAACCCTACTGACAAATTCGCTTGAATCTTCGGAAAATTTGAAGAAAAAAAAAAACGTATTTTTCAATCGAACCATTTCAAAATTGAAAAATCCAAATATTTTTACAGGAAGAAGTCAAAAGTGAACCAAATTATACTGGCCTAGTAGGGAAACCGGAAGTTAATTAGTTTCGAATGTTTTTGGAACTTTGATAGCTAGGCTATAGTAATAGCATTAGTATTTATTCCAATGTGACGAAAATTATATGCAACAAAAAGAAATTGTAAAATTTTGTTTATTTTTGAGATTTTTTTTCCGCAATTCCGTAATATTGAATCTTCAATGCCATAATTTGAACATTTTCTGGATTTTCACTCAAAAACTCAAGTCATGGATGCAGAGATACCCATTTTTTTTTTTTTTCAAATTATAGTTTTACTGCAGTTTCACTGTTACTAATAATTTGAAAAAAGAGTGTATCTCTACTGCAGAGACACACTGCGTCTATCCATAACTTGAATTTTTGAAGTGAAACGGTTCAAAAATATTAAATTATGGCATTGAAATGTCAATATCACGGAATGGCACAAAAAATTTCCATCAGTGGACAAACATTTTACTAGCCTAATCAGTGAGTTGTGGCAACACTAAAATTATATGAAAATTGAAATGATGCTTTTAGTGCAAAAAAAAAAACAATTGTATGACATGGAATACATAAATGGCATACTGATAGCATCGATTCTTAACTCAAAATGAGGTAATGAGGTACAAATCAATTTATTGCGAGAAATTAAAATCGATACTACGAGAAATATTTCAATGAAATATACGAATTATAATTTGCAAGAAATACCGGGGAATACCGTTAAATGGATCCATGCGATAGATTTATGAGATAATTTTTTGTACATTTCGTTTTTTCTTTCAATTTCAAATGCAAAAAAAAATCGGATTTTTTTTGGTAAATTTTCCATCATTTTCGCAATATCTATCTGTTTTCTAGGAATGTAGAATTCTTCATGATTAATATCTAGAAAAAATTCGCACAATCTGTGGCATTGTTTTGAACTGCAACTCCAATAAATTCCATAAAGGTAAAATGTGCCAAAATTTATATCACAAATTAATTATATGAATTCTTCTAAACGGATAGATCCATCTGACGGTATACTATCTAAGGTAATAGGTAATAGCACCTCGAATCGTTTACTCTCACACTGACCGAGTTTGTCAATTATAAGCCGTAGTGTTCGCTTTGTTTTTTTTTTTTTTTTTTTGGAAATGGAAAGTATAAAAATAAGAATTTATGTAAGATTTTCCCGTAGATAATTCTACATACATAAACAAAATAAAAGCACAGACACATACAACAACCACTTATATAGATGAAACGATGAAGATAACTCAACACAACACTGGCAATAATTCAAGAAATTGATGGTCATAAATTTTAAGGTTCTTCTGCATTAAGAATCATATACACAAATATATATATATAGAGATTATATATATATTACCTCACTTATGTACGACAACAAATAAGGAAAAACCACGAAAACATTGTTCATTCAGAGTTCATTCAGTTGATATATCATGTGATTTAAAAGAAAGAAGAACAAATACAGCTAACCATAAAATGTGTGAGAACGCAGGTGATGAAGAAGTAATTGCAAAATTTGACAATATTTGAAGAAATTAGGAAACTTACAACATACTCAAACGGCATTTGTTAAAGAAAATCCCCGAAGAAAATAAGAGAAAAAAATCTCTTCAATTATTGAAATGATAATCTAAACACACAGACACATATGTACGTAATATGACAACAACAACAAAACTAAACTACGAACACTTGGAGCTATCTTATACAATGATTATCTTCCAAAAATAAAAATAAATAATGAGAAAACCAAATGTTGAAAAATGTATTTGATTGTATGGGTCAACAGGAAAACACATTTCCATTTAAATCTATATGAATAATTTGATTTCTTCAAAAAAGGGTAAGTTGGCAAATATAATGATCATCTGTAAACGTTGAAGTGATATTAAAAAAAGAAGGTAAGATTATACTAAATTGATACCCGGCCAAATGGTACTCTTATTACTCTTTTTGACATTTGTCCTAACATTCGTCACATTAATAGTTAATAATGTTGAAGGAATAGCTTCAGGAAATTAATATCTAGGGTTCACACTGAACACATCATTGCATCCTTTGAGCAATGTAAACAAATACAACGAAAACTGTAAATAAATACGATGCATGCAGGCATCGCCATAGAAATGTAAACAAAATACATTGAAACGTCGAATTCCCGTTGTCAACAAGCAATCTTCAAGCGCACACGGTTTCCAATGATAAATGTGCATGAAATGTTGGACAGAAAAAGCCACATGCTCGAAATACAAACAACGTGAATCAAATTTTAGCTTGTTGTAATGCATCAACGCTTTAAAAAGCGGTGAAAATGTATTGAAAGCCAAAATTTACATGCACACACATATACACGCATATATAATGATCCATACACAACTGCCACTCAATAGGTATATAACAATAAAGGAGAATAAAAAAACCGATACACCGAATGCACGACATATTATCCGTTGACTCATTCATTTAAATTGTATGTGCGTTGCGTATGTGTTTGTATTCCCATAGAAACCATTGACAAACATTATGTTTGGCGGCCGTCAAATCAGTTCTCGTTCAGCAAAGTGGGTCGTTCGGCCAAATAACAACACAACAAATATTTAGTTTGAATTGTTCACTGCGTGCAATAAATTTGTGGAACAAATGAGTAGCAATAAAATCAAATTCATTTTAAATACCTCGGGTAAGACTGTTTTTTCATACTGTTTGGTTTTTCTTTTTCATTATTGAAATGTGTATGTATGTGTTTGTGTGAGAGAATGGGAAAAAAAATGCAAAATCACTATTGTTACTTGAATTGCATCGTATGCAAAAATGTAGATTTTCATATTTGCCTAGATTGTTATGCGATGTTTTTGTTGCTATTGAATTTCATTTGGAGATTGTGTGTAGAGCCGGATGACTATGAATGTATGCCATGCATGTGCATCTATTTCACCTGTTTGCAATAGTTGCTTGCTTTGGTATGCTAAAAACTATTTTCATTGCGAACAAAACGAAATAATAAGAAAAAATATAACTGCAAAAAAAATAACGATAAAACAAAACTGCTAACATACATTTTATGCAATGTATATATTTTCTCTATTTCAGTCGATTATTTTTCATTGCATGGAAAAACCAACACGTATGATGATTTGGCGATAAGAGAATTTCTCGAAAGCAACGAGCTAACGGTGTTGACTGCAATAAATCATGGCGATAAACTGATTTTCAGCCACACTATAACCGAAGATGAAAATTGTTTAGTTTTCTACAAAATTCCGCAAATCGGTAGCGCCAACATTGCACGACAATCAAGTACTGACACCGATGACAACACAACAACTACCAACATCGTATTTCCATTGGGTATACTGACGCTGGAAGGTGGTTTAGCTAAATCTATTTATAATTCGATATCAAGAGTATATTCACCGTATGTTGCCAAGGTAAATTAACAACTTAAAGTCACAAAGGTGTTGTTGTTGTTGCTACTGCCACCAATGCTGCTGCTGCTGTTGCTTATCACTACATGTGTGGTTTCACGCGCCTACTTTCATCTTTCCTTATCTGTATCGTTGGCCGTTATTTTAAATTTTCATTGACATTCTTCTATCGTTGGTGGTGGTTTCGTCGTTAATGTTGCCATCGTCACCTTTTTTTCTTGTTATTGGACGATGAAGGCAATAATATTCTCTCGTTTTGAAGGAGAGTCGATCAATGTTGTAGGTTTCATAAGTGTAAATTAACAGCGCCAAAAGTACATTTTTCAAATCGAATTTTCAATATGATATTTGTGTATATATTAGAATACCAGCAGAGTACTCCGTACTTGAAAAAAAGGAGACCCGTCACATGATATTCGTTTTTCATCTTTTTTTTATTTCTAATTTGCTCTATTTCTATCTTTTTCGTTCTTAGAAAATTCAATATCCAGCTGATCTGCAAGTGCTTATCGAAAATTTGCATTCGACATTGGGTTTAACACTTGGTTTACCTCAATCAAGTAAGAGAATGCACAAAATACCATTTAAATCACATGTTCAACAAAACCATGTGTTTTCTCTCTCTCTCTCTCTCTTTATCAATCATTTCATTTTCTCACTATTCTCGATTTATATATCTGACCGTCACTTTCTATCCGGTTTGCAATAGACATTCATTCGATTCAGCACGAAATTAATTTTTGGAGCGAAAAGTCTCGTAATGCATCGGCCAAGTCGGATAAAGAAGCGGCGAACGTGTTCTCAATGGCCATTGAAAAGCTGAATCAATTGCTCAGGTTAATGAAATAAGCATTTTATTCGTCGTTCAGCGCTTCATTACCAAATGATGTCTTTAAACAATTTTCAATTGACAAATTTGAAATGCCGTGGACATTTTTCAGAAACGTTGCCACAATCAACTCATTGGAGGAATTTCTGGACAGTATTCACACTCAACTAGATGAATTATGGCGACTACCGCAAAACTATCCACAAAATCGAATGATTGATCTAATGGATATTATTTGTAGGTTTTGTAACTCTCAATATCATTCATTTATTTTGTTCGTGTTCGTTCCGTTCACACACACACACACATCAGAGTGACGTCTTACACAAGATAACAATTCAAATCTATCTATTCGCATTTATATTTTCACATTTTTCGTTCTCGTTTCCATTATTTTTCCATTTCTTCCTTTCGGATTTTATTCAATGGCCCACAACATAACAGCGTTGAACGTAACGGAATTTTGCTCGGATCGGCTCCATGAAATTGATGATGTTTGGGATGTCAAATCATTGCATGTGTTTCAAACATTGAACGATATTATCGAGGTGATTGAGTCTTGGATACAAGTGTGCGACTCGTTAACGCGATTATTTTGGCCGAATTACGCTCGACACGCTTGGATTGGTGGCCCGCACATACCAAAAACAGCAACACAATACTTAAATCGTCTGCAGGAGATTCAAGCCATTCGCAATGTTTACAAGGAAATTGTGTGTTTATTCAACGAAATCAATCAGATAGACAAAAGCGTACGGCGGATATTCATTCCATTCAGAGGTTTCATTTGATTGATTTCTAATTTACGAAAAATTTTGGGCCAAACACACAAACTAATACTAACAACACACATTTTTTTTATTCGAAATACAATCGAAATATACTTGCACTTGTATATACCATGTATAATCGAATGCTTCTCTACATTTAGATATCGTGATTTATGACATCAGCACCATTGGCGAAAAGAAATGGAAACGTGCAATTGAAAAATATGAACAAATTCTTGAGCCAATTTACGAAAAAATTTCCATGATATTGAAATCAAAGCTACACACCCACCTTGATGAACCCGTCGAAATCATTCAAGTTTTTCGAAAATATGAAACAATTTTAAAAAGTGCCGATATTATGGAACTTTTATCGGCTGAACGACAACATTTTTTGCAATCGCTTCATAAATTGATGAAAGAGCTCAAAGAATTATTGGCTGAACCAAAAAAATGTCCAGACGATTCGGAAATTTCATCACTTTGTTGGGAAACCAAAGAATTGAAACAATTTCAAAATGAAGTACAGACCACATTGATGGCATTTGAAATGTTGGAATTTTTCTTATAACTTAGATTGTTTGGGTTTTTTTGTGTTTTATAGTTGAATCAAATCGAAATGGTGTTATTTGTGGTGACAGATGTCGAGGGATATGAATTGATAAAAAAGTCGCTGGATGATTTGAAAGAGGATACCGAAAAATGGCTAAAATCGAACTTTGAACAATGGCGCGATGAATCTCTAACATCAATATCAATGGGAGATTTAACGTATGGTTTATATAAACGAATTGATGAACGTTGTCCTTTTGTTTTTAATCTTAAAATTCAATTGCAAATTTAGATTGAAGGATGACAAACCGGTTGTGGAATTCGAAAAGGATGGACGTCAATTGATGCAAGTTACGTTTAAGCCAAAGCTGGTGATGTTTTGCAGTGATGTTCGTGAATTTGAAGATCTTGGTTTTCGCATTCCAATCGAGTTGAGAAATACGGCCATGCATGCAATCAAATTTATGGGCCATGCTCGAAAATTGCAACAAATTGCTACTTTTCATAATACCATCGGTGATCGAATGATACCGTGCGTTCGTCCAATTATGTTGCAAAATGCATTGAAATTATCAAATTTGGTGCGCAGCGAATCGGTCGCATGGAACGATGAAAGTTCGGTTGAACGTTATGTGTCAACGTTGCAGGTGGCTGTGAATAATTTGTCTCGTGACAACAATTTTCTAACCGAATACCATGAAAAGACGAAAATCATTGTAAGAGTGCCAATTTGTCTGAAATGGCAATTCTTGCCATTTTGCACAGAGAACGATTTTTTTTTTTTTTTTTTTTTTTAAATAATCATTCTATAATGTTCTTTATTTTGTTGGTGCGGTACTTTTTCCGATGAATTTAGGTCATGCGATTAATGAACACAGACTTGTTGCGGCAAAGTGATGTGTGGAGAGATGAAATGAAAAATCTACGAAACATTGTTACAACGCTCGAAACAAAAGGCTACACAAACTTACAAGCATTCAAAATTCACTGGGATCATCAGCTTTATAAAGTGTTGGAATATCAGTATTTGATTGGAATTTCAGATTTAAGCCATCGCTTACCGGATATTCACATTGACATTGTATTCAGACAACAAGAGATTCAATATCGTCCAACGATGGAAGAAATACGCTCCATTTACTACTCACAACTTAGACGATTTATCGAACGACCGCTCACCTTCAAAGGACTATCCGATCAAAGCACAAACATTTTTAAAGCAATGGTTGACATGTAAGCTCAAACTTAGACATTTCAACTATTTTCTTTCTCTCGCATTTTGAGAACTGAAAGAGAGAGAGAGAGATAGAGAGCCACTTTTGCATTTTCATTTAACGAAACGCATCAAACTAAATCCATTGAAGTCGAACTAATTAAAAAATAAAACATTTTTAGAAATCGTGACCGTTTCGCTGCACTTTATGACAAAGCAGAGAATTTATTTGAACAACTGATTGAGTTTCAAGAGGCTTGGCGACCCTTTGTCACATTGGGCTGTGTGAACTTAGAAGACTTATGCGAAATTTATTTGAAAAGCAGAGACGATTGGGACAAAAATTTCAAAGCTTGCAAACAATTCAGTCAACAAATTGCTAAAATACCAGGGTACACCATAACAAATATTTCAATTTATCGATTGAACGTTGATGGCTTTTAAGCCAAATTAAAATCAAAAGTTTGCATTCATTTCAATTTCACTGGCCGATGAATAATTATAAAATAATTTCCATTTCAGAACTGAGAGTCGAATTGATTGTTTTATGATAAATACGTCACCGATTCGATCGGATATTGAATTTATTAGCCGAAAATATTGGGAAACTTTAACATATAGTTTGCGTTCATCGATTTTAAAAGATTTGACAATGCTTCAAGATTTTTTGAATAGATCGTCACAAGTTTTGCAAACGGTGCCCGTTTCGATGGAAGAACAATATTTTGAGGAATCGGCTATGAAATGTGAACAAATTATTTCCGAATTGTCGACGGTAAGAATTGAACGAAATCGAAAAAAATAAAATAAAAAAAAAGGATCGAAAAACTTTCGATAGCTTATTTGATTTCAACTTTTAGATGCAAGAAATGTTGCATTCAGTACAAGCGAAGGACTCTTGTTTGGCTGGTTGGTGTCGAGAACGGGTCAGTGCATTGAATGGTATACTTAATCAATGGGAGCAATTGCAGCCGTTGATTGATAATCATAGTGCATCGTTGAAAGTGCAAATTGATGTGTTGAAAAGTCAAATTGAAGTTCAAATGGCCAATTTAAAAGATGAAATTGAACGATTTGAAATTCGATGGGACGCAACCATTACCGAATTGGAACAAAATGAAGAGGCCAGTTTAGAATTATTTAAAGATCGTTTACGTAGTTGGCTTACAATTGAAGAGCAAAAAGAAAAATTGGAAAATAGTTGTAATAAATATAATATGACATTTGCATCGGAAATTTCGGAAATTTTTGAAAAAATTACGAGCGATATTGAGAGTCAAGGACAACAATGGAAAGATTTTGAACAATTTTTAAGCGAATTTGATAATATTTGCGGTGAAGAATGGACAGTTTACCGAAGAAGACCATACATTTTAACCGATTTTATGTCGAAATGGTTGAGCAAAACCAATTCGACAAATGACCAAAAGATTGCCACCAAAAGGATTAACAAGATTTTAAAGGGTCTACAAGCAGCTGCACCCGTTCTGCAAACACTTCAAAGCGATGGTTTGACCGAAAAGCATTGGGCAAAAATCTTTTATCTTATGAATAAACCGTATAAACCATTCCATGATATTACATTGAAGGACACACTGAGTGATTTAGATGTGTTGGTTAAAAATGCCGATGAAATTCATCAGCTGGTTAGAAAAGCGGCATCTGAACAAATTGTACGTCAAGCTTTGAGCGAATTAGATCAATGGGGTGTACAAGCCGAATTGAAGACATTCACGCACACCGACTCACTGGGAAATCATATCACACTAATAAAAGAATTTCAAGAGATTCAAAATAAGGTGGCCGTTTTTCATTTACAACAATTAGTTTGTTTTTGTTAAAGAAAAAAAAAAACGTTTTTTTTTTGCAGGTTGGCGACAATCAATGTTTATTGCAATCGGCTAAAAATTCATCGGCATACGAATCGTATGCAGACCAAGCGGAAATTTGGGAATCACGTCTTGCATCAACTGACCATATTTTAACAAGTTTAAGTCAAATACAACGAAAGTATGACCACATTCAAAAATCTTACCACATTCAAGTGTGACACTAATATTCAAATAAATTTTTAGGTGGATTTATTTGGAACCGATTTTTGGTACCGAGAATCCATTGTCCGAAGGTGCTGTATTCAAGCAAATCAACAAAGATTTCCGTTATATAATGAAAGAAATTGCAAGCGATCCACGTGTGCTGTCATTAGTTAAAGTGCATGGCATTACGAATATCATCGATTCACTCGAAAATCAACTAAATCGATGCCAAAGCACTCTGACTGTATTTATAAACGTATGTTTTGCACATCAGTTCCACGCAAAGTGTTTTCATGAAATGGTTTAGTGAATTCTGTTATTTTTCTCTCTCTCTTTTTTTTTGTTGCACAGACAAAACGCAATGCATTTCCACGATTTTATTTCCTCAGTGATGATGATTTGTTGGAATTACTGGGACAATCGACAAAAGAGCCAATCATTCAAAAGCATATAAAAAAGCTTTTCCCCGGAATAAATCGTTTAAAAATCGACCAAAATAATGGTTCAACTTCAATTGTGAAAATTATGAGCGCTGAAAATGAAGATGTTAAACTATTGGAGCCAATTAAAATGATTGGTCCGATTGAAACATGGTTGAGCCATCTACTCAAACAAATCAAAAACACGTTAATCGATTTGATTGTGCGATGTAGTCAAGTGGATAAATTTAGCATCGATGTGATAAAATCGTATCCGGAACAGGTGATTTGCTTAGCACGGTCTATTCAATTCACAAAGCAAACAGAAAAAGCGATTAGTGCAATGAATCTTCAAACGCATTTAAAGACGATTAAGAATGAAATCGTCTACTATACAACGAAAATACCAAAGGATATCGATAATCTGACGAAAATCAAAGTGCGATCAATTTTATTGGATTTAGTGCATCATGCAACGATTGTTCAACAATTAATTGATGAGAATGTAACAAATGTATTGGATTGGGGTTGGACGCAACAAATGAAATTTTTTTTAAATTCCACCACAAAAGTGGTCACGATAAAAATGGTTTCAGCCGAATTTGAATATTCGTACGAATATTTGGGAAATGTGAACCGTTTAGTTGATACAAAACTCACGCATAATTGCTATTTGACATTGACACAGGCCATGCAATTGGGCTTGGGTGGAAATCCATTTGGTCCGGCTGGTAAGATTTTGAATTGATGATGATTTATTTTTCGGTCTATTCGCTTTTTGTTTTGAACAACATATTTTGTTTCCATCTGCGACAGGAACGGGTAAAACGGAATGTGTCAAGTCTTTGGGTGCAATGCTTGGACGATTAGTACTCGTTTTTAATTGCAGTGAAGTAAATAAATAAATAAATTTTTATAGTGAGAAAAAAGAAACAATATTCAAATTGAAATAAAATCATTCCGCAGAATGTCGATGTTACCGCAATCAGCCTAATTTTATCCGGTTTGGCAAGATGTGGGGCGTTCGGTTGTTTTGATGAATTTAATCGTTTACAAGAAGCAACACTGTCGGTTCTATCGATGATAATTCAACCAATCCAAAGTGCCATTCAACAGAAAAGTGATACCGTCACCATTTTTAGTGAAAAGGTATGTTCGGCTCTTATCTCTTGTTTTATTCATTATTTATACCATATTATTATCGTTCGGTGTTTAAGATCCCACTGAATTTGCATTGTGGCATTTTTGTAACATTAAATCCGGCTGGTGAAGCATATGGTGGACGGCAAACATTACCATCGAATTTGCAAGCATTGTTTCGGCCAATAGTGATGCAACAACCGGAACCAAAAGATATTGCACGTGTTATATTGTTTGTTGAAGGATTCGAATTTGCCGAAACAATTGGCGCAAAAATGGTTGAATTATTTAATATGGCAAAGAAGATGCTTTCACCACAATGCCATTATGAATGGGGCTTACGCGAATTGAAAACCGTTTTGCTTGCCTGTGGGTGTTTATTAAAACAAATGGCCAACGATACCGACACCACCAACAGCACCAACGACACCAATCATCGGAAACGTGATGAAGACTTTGAAATGCGTTTGGCCGTTAATGCACTTCGCATGAATACAATGTCGAAATTAACAGCAAACGATTGCAAACGATTTGATATGCTAATTGGATATGTTTTTGCAAATACAACCATCGATAAGATGCAACAAAATGTTTTACAACAATCCATTGAGCAGGCGTTCGATCAGTTGAATATGCAACAAAACGAAAAACAATTGGAAAAGTGCTTACAGCTATACGAGCAATTGGAAAAGCGTATGGGTGTCGTTGTATTAGGGCCGCCAAACTGTGGAAAAACTACCATTATATCGCTATTGAAACAAGCCATTTTAAACACCGGCAAAGTAATTAAAACTTATACGATTTCACCGAAATCGATGAATCGCATACAATTGCTTGGCCATCTCGATCCGGATACGCGACAATGGAATGATGGAACATTAACATCGGCTGCGATTGCTGTTAGTGAAGAAAATGCCGGTTTGTAGAACTATAATCGCAATGCAACATTTATCGTTTGCATCTTAAACCGATTTTGATTTCATTTGCTAATTTGTTTATAACTCTCTTTTTGTTTTTCATTTCCAAACTTTTTACGCTCGCTTGCTGCCTCTTTCTCTCTCTCTATGTCTTTCTTTTTCTTTATCTCTTTCTGCTTCACTGTATCTTTGTATTTCGACTATTTAGATGTGAGCTCATGGATTATATGCGACGGCGAAATTGATCCAGATTGGATTGAAGTATGTTTTGGAACGATTGTTTTGTTGTTGTTTTTGTTGTTGTTGTTGTTGTAAAACTAAGCTTTTTTTTTATTTAAACCATATTTTAGGCATTAAACTCGGTGCTCGATGACAACAAGTAAATATAGACGAAAAAAAAAACGAGAATATAGCGTTCGACTCACCATTTTGCGAAATAATTTCAACACTTTTTTTTCTTCTCTTGACAGACTTTTAACATTACCATCCGGTTGGCGTATTCAGTTCGGTGACAATGTTAACTTTATATTTGAAACGCACGATCTAATACATGCGTCTCCGGCAACCATTTCTCGAATGGGAATTGTAAACTTGAGGTAAACAATCTATTTGCAAATAGTTGCATTTAAAATGGAACGCCACAAATTTTCACACACACTTCTTTCTGCTTTCAATTCAAGCGCATCCGATTTATCCGAACAAATAATATTCGATTCACGTTACATTATGCAATCAAATCCGGATGCGTATGAGACACTCATCGAACAATATGTTAAAAAAGCATTCAATTGGTTACAAAAGAAGTCAATTGAACTATCGACAATCGGAAACATTTGCAATATTCTAAACTATACGAACGATGTTCGATTGAAGGAAGAGTTTTGTGTCCGGCTTGTTTATTGTTTGGGTTATGCGTTAGAACCAAAATATCATGATGCATTTGCAACAAAGGTAATAACAATGTAATTGATTGAAAATGTTGACATTGTTTGAACAATTTCGGGTGAATGTAATGTTATTAGGTGTTTGAATTGGCTGATATCTATATACCAAGTGGAAAGGAAAGCAAATATTGTTTCTTCAATAAATATCGCGAAGCAGTCGAACTATATGAATCCGATGGCATGGTTGATCTAGACTCAATTGATAATGTTGCAAACTTTTTGATAAAAACGACCAAAATCAAAACGTATTTGAGCATTTTAAAAATTTATCTTGAGCAAGGGATCCCATTCAATATCATTGGACCGTCTGGATCTGGAACGAGGTATATATTCACTAAACTACGAGTAAACGAATCCATTTTTAAAAACTGGCATTAAAAATTATTTTGCATAGTCTTCTTCTGCATGCTGCTGTTAATGATTTGGACGGCTATCAATTGTTGACGATAAACTGTAGCTCTCAATTGACCGCATCTTATGTTTTATACATGTTAAAACAGGTATTAAATATTTGCTCATTGGATTGAATTTAAGTGATATTTAATATGTTAAAATCGTTATTGAATGGTGCAGAACTCAATGGTTATAACTGGTTTGAAAGGTCGTGAGTATCGGCCACATCTCAATAAAACGGTTTTATTTTTCAAAAATATTGATTTGTGCAACATCGATAAGTATGGTAGCTGTGAAATTATGGAGCTCATTGTACAATTGATTCGACGTTGCGGTTTCTATACTGAATTACTCGAATGGATAAATGTTACCGACTTAATTATTTGTTGTTCGATGGTTAATATTCAAAAGCATCAATTTTCACCGCGTTTTTTATCGATTGTACAGAATTTTTATGCTGAGTAAGTTAATACATTGATTTAATTCGATTAATTTTGTGTGGTGAGCAGCATTATTTTTTTCCTTGATGTGATATTAATTTTTTTTTTACAGATTTCCAAATGACACGGAATTGAATTTAATAATGAAAAACCAATTTTCACCGATGAGTGCTCGCTTCAAGCCAGCTATCAATGAGAAACGTGTTAATCAAATTGTCGAATGTCTCATTGAAATGTATAACGAGGTATATGGTGTTCACAATGAATATTAAAATTGATTCAACATTTCGTTTCTTTTTTTCATTCGTGATTTAAATTTGGTTCACCCACCGTGAACGTATTTTATAGATTAACAAGAACTTCACCAGAGATCAACGCAATCACTATATTTTCACACCAAAAATGCTATCCAAATTGATCGATGGCTTGAAATTTTATCCGGAGAGCTATTTTCAACAAGTAAACAAACTTTAAATTGACACTTTTTGAGATTTGAAAATCAAGATGCATTTATATTTAATAACAAATAATTTGGTACGCGACAGGCATTTTACAATGAGATGAAGTGCATTTTCCGGAATCGATTGACCACCGAACCACATAAAGATAAATTTGATCGAATTTTGCAGTCTTCAAGTCGAACTCTATTTGATATTGATCAATCGAATCACTTTTTTGTACCGAGCGGAAGCCAATCGTCTGCATTACAATATACGACGCAACAAGATTGGACGGATATTGTAAATCGAAATATTACGATTTGCAGTAAGTTTGTGTAACATGAAACACAAAACATTCATCTATCTTCATTAACATTTTCATTTTCAGATACGGAAGATATTGTCCTATACACCGTTGTCAATGATTTACTTTTGGATGCGACTGCTTCGATTTGTCGTACATTATCGCGAATGGAATCGCACATTTTACTTGCTGGTCCAACTGGATCGAATAAGATTGATGCACTTCATATTGCTTGCACGCATCTTGGCATTAACATGACATCAATAACACCTGTTAAAAATTACAACATCAATGACTTTTATAACGATTTAAAAATGGTAATTTTTGTAATTTGTCTATGTGGTTCAAAACAATTGGTTTTCGTTTCAAAATTCAAACAATAGGCCATGCAATCAGCTGCACTGGACGAACATCATGTGGCATTTTTTGTTGAACATGCGTGGATTGCATATTTGCCTGAAATTATGAATCCAATCGAAGCGGTGCTGGAAGGCAGTGAAATACCGAATTTGTTTGGTGATGACTTGGAAACAATCGCCAAACCATTGAAATCGGCTGCACAACAGGACGGCTTCCAAGAGTCATTGAGCGCTTATTTTTGGTCGAGTATCGAAAATCGTTCCTTTTCAACTCGGATTATATTCGATGGAAAAATACACTTCGATTAACTAATATGACAAAAAAAAAATTCAAATTTTACCGATCTAATTTCAGGAATAAATCAGCGTCTTCATATTGTCCTCTGTTTGGAAAGTGAAAGTCATAGCATTGACGAATTATTCGAAAGTTATCCATCACTTTATAAATCCACTGAAATCGTTTGGATATCAAGCACACCAATTGCATCTTCCGAATATGTGGCAAAGGAATTGACCGAAAAATTCTGCGGTGACACAATTCCCGCACCGAAACACTTGAACATATTAGAATTTTGTTCGACTGAATGGAATGAATCGGCTTATCGTTTTCGAAATTTAATTTTCACTTATGGTACACTATACAGAGATATGTTGTTCACTATACAGAAACAACAAAATATTCTTCAGGTAAAGTTCAAGTGAAACAATGTAATAAATTTGAAAGCTTTCAATTTACAATAACTTTTTCAATAGACTGGTGTGGATAAGTTGTCATCGGCTCACGAAGTGGTTCATAGTTTGAAACAAGATGCAGAAAAACAGGAAGTTGCACTGGCCGAAAAGAGAGAAATGGCGAATAATGCTTTGGAAATGATTGCGTCAACCATGAAAAGTGCGTCGAATCAAAAGGACGATTTACTCGAATTGAAAAATAAAGCCCAAGAAAATGAATTATTATTAAAGAAACGAAAAGAAGCGGTTGAGCTTGAATTGCGTGAAGTTGAACCGATGTTGAATGAGGCCGTTTCGGCCGTTGGTCAAATCAAAACGGAAGCATTGTCTGAAATTCGTTCACTTCGTGCACCGCCTGATATTATTCGAGATATTTTGGAAGGTGTACTGCGTTTGATGGGTACACGTGACACTTCGTGGAACAGTATGAAATCATTTCTTGCAAAGCGTGGCGTTAAAGAAGATATTCGATCACTGAATCCGGCTCGCATTAGTATGGAAAATTGTAATGCTGTCGCAAAATTAATGAACGCAAAAGCCGAATCGTTTGATTTGAAAAATGCAAAACGTGCATCGGCTGCTGCTGCTCCACTCGCCACATGGGTTATTGCCAATGTAAAATATTGCAAAGTTGTACAAAGCATCAAACCATTGGAAGAAGAACAAGAACAATTACAGAGAAATCTACGCGAATCCGAAAATAATATGAAATTATTGAAAAGTGGATTAGACGATGTTGATGCACGCGTCAAAGAACTCTCAGTGCAATTGAACATTTATACACAAGAGGCGGCCGTTCTTGAGCTTAAACTTGAAACGGCTAGGTAAACATGGAAAGACTGAATCACGTCAATTGTTTTTTAAAACAGACTACTCTCTTGCATTCAATCACAAATTCTCACGTTTTTTTTAGAAACACACTGCAATCGGCAGAAGTTCTAGTTACCAAACTTAGCAGCGAATATGCAAATTGGAAGCTACAGTTACAGGATATAAACAAAAATATCGGCCAAATTGATTTAAATGCATTTTTGATTGCATTCTCCATCACACATCTATCACATCTTTCATTTGAGAAGCGACAGTACGTATGAATATTGAAATAAGCTATTTTATACTATATCAATTTTAAATTCAAGGACGATGATGGATATGATTTGTGCAAAACTCAAACTTGAAGATGTCAATGTAATGGATAGAATTCTATCCGAACAAGATCGTATAATATGGGAGAGTATGGGTCTTACTCCCGATGTTCAATCGATGGAAAATGCGGCTTTATTAACAAAAGTATGTTAAAAATTCAAATATATGTACTTAATGTATGTGGATGTATATCTTATTTTTCAAACTGTTTTTATCAGGTGTTGACGACTCCATTTGGATCAACGCCGATTCCAATGCTGAATGATCCGACAAAAAGTGCCGTTAATTGGTTGTTGAAGTACTTGAGTTCAAAAGATATACCGTACGAAATAACAACGCAACATTCCGATCGTTTCACCTACACTCTTGAATTGGCCATTCGATTTGGTAAAGTGTTAATTGTGGATGATTGTAGTGAAATTAAACCTCCATTACTTGCGATCATTTCGTGCATCGTTCAAATGCGTTTCAATAAGAAATTTCTACAAGTTGGAAACAAATTGGTTGATTTCAATGAAAATTTCAAAGTTATTTTATCATCAAGGGGCACCGGTCAGTTTTCAAATAAAACTAGAATCCTTGATACCTTTATTATGGTCATTCCATTTACAACTACGATTGCTGGACTTACGGACCAACTAATGAGCAAGTCAATTCAAGTGAAACAACCTGAATTGGAAACGAAGCGCATTTCATTGCTACAAAATGAAAGTGATTTACTTAAGAAGAGAGAAGAATTGCAAGAGAAGTTATTGTTTGAATTATCGAAATCGCAAGGCGATATTTTGAAAAATGAAGTAAGTTATTTAAAAAAACGATTTATTTGAATCAGAATTAGCAGCGGAAAAGTGCGAGAACAACAGCCCCTTCATTGTGCTTGGTTAAATAATCTATTTTCATTGAATTTTCAGAAATTGCTAGAAACACTGAACGAAGTAAAGACAAGTAGTTCACAAATTGATCAATCACTACATGAATCGGTTGAAATCAAAAGAAAATTAATGAGCGAATATGATCAATACAAAGATGTATGCAGTCGTGCTGCCAGTTTATATGTGGGAATAAATCAAATCTATGCAATGCCTGTGAATGTATTCATGTCACTTTATGTGAAAGGCATCAGTTTGGAAAAAGTATGAAAACGATACGAAATGGAGAACTTGGAATTGTTGAACTTCGATAATGTTTTCTTGAAATTTTTGCAGGAGTTTGATCAACGTAGAATATTCGAACAAGTAGTCAAGTCAACTTACAATATGATAAGTCGTGCGTTGCCAAAAGACGAACACTTTGCTCTAGCATTGCATATACTCAAGGGAGCACATCCTGCATTCGTTCCGGAAAAGGTGGAAACAATTATTTTTTTTATTCGCATTCAGCAAATATTTTCGTGCACATAAAGTGTGTTAAACTATTTTCGCATTATTTGCAGGAATGGGAATCATTTATTACAAACTTTGCGCTGGTCGATGAAAATGGTGATCATGAAATACCAAATTGGATAAAAAAATCGATTGCACCAAAGGTGATATCATTAAAAATAAATCACAATGATTTGTACAATAAACTTCAATTGGAAAATGAAGAGTTATGGCGATCGTTTTTGAATAGTACAACACCAAATGATTTACCAGTGCATGTAACCGAATTGCAAAAAATTTTAGTCACACAAATTTTCCGGCCAGATTTACTTATCGCCACAATGACACGGTCGCTTTCAAAGCTTCTCATGACGAACGTTCCATGCGAATTAAAACCAAGCATTCAACAATTATTCGATGAAACAAAAGAAGATGAACCAATTCTATTTATTACAAATGGTGAAATTGATCCATCAAAAGATGTGTCCGATTTTTCGCATCATAAATTTGGTAGCAATAAATTCATGGAAATGGCCATTGGAAAAGGTCAAGAGAAAGGTGTGATGCAACAAATTCGACAAGCAGCACAAAATGGCACTTGGATTTGCATAAAAAATGTACAACTAGTGCCAAATTGGTTAAACGATTTGAATGAATTATTACAAACGCTATCGTTTTGCGATGGTTTTCGTATTTGGCTTGTTTGTGATGGAATCCGTGTGTTTCCGCAATCGTTATTGAATAAGTGCAATAAGGTTTTATACGAAGCGCCCAATAGTATAAAATCGAAAGTTCAGCGATTGATTCATCAGTGGCGAAGTCTATTGGATAAGAAAAGAGATGCCAAACTATTAAAAATTTACATCGCTTTATTCATTTTTAATGCTGTTGTACAAGAAAGACGCTCATTTGTACCACAAGGTTGGACAAAACCATATGAATTTTCGGATGCCGATTTGAAAGCAGCTATTGATATAATCGGTTCGATGGAAAAAATGGCATCGTTTAAAATGGATTGGTCAATTTTAAAGGAAATGTGCCGTCTCATTGCGTACGGCGGTCGAATTGATAATTCACGAGATCAATTGATTTTGAAAGCCAATTTTGACGAATTTTTCAACGATAAAATGATGACAAACGCATGGTCACCACTTGAATTGAAATGCCCAATTCCATTGTCGAACAATGTTCAAGATTATTTGAATGCACTATTTCGTTTACCGGATGCTGATAATCCAGAGGCATTTGGCCTGTCATCGGTCACCATTTTAATTCGCGATGCAATCATGTGTCGCAATATTTTGAAGCAATTGAGACGTAAGTATTGACCTATCTTCATAGTTTTTAGTTTCCTTTCAATTTTCTTATTTAAATCAATTGCTGTGCTTTGTCACTCAGACTCGGAACTCTCAATGGACACCCGGAATTTCGATAAAAGAATCAAACCGATTCTTAGTCTTTGGCGAAAATTGAACGAAGTAAGTTACTTTGCAAACAATACAATTGCATCAAAAATGATCAAAAAAAGATTGCAATAACAATCTCTTATTCTTCTCTGAAGGGTGTAAATTTGACAAATTCGAGCGACATAATTCAAATGCAAAGTACCGATTCATCAAATCCATGGACGCTTTTTGTCATATCAGAGCTTCTGATGGCAAAAAATATATTCAAAACCATTTACAACACGTTGAGTATGATTCATGTTGCAATGAAGGATGTGTCATCGTTAACGCGTGATACATTGAATTTAATTCGTATAATATGTGAAAATCAAGTGCCATTTAAATGGCGTCAGATTTGGTCAGGACCGCGATTCATTGTCGATTATATCAAGGCAGTGGTAAGCCGTGATTCTTATTGATTCTTTTTCGATTATTCACTAATTATTTTGTGATTCTTCTCTTAGGTAAGCCGTGGCATTGAGGCTGAACGTCGGTATCAGGGTAGTATTCACATTGATTTCGGCGAGGAAATCGATTTCGCCAAAGTTTATAATGTCGAATCATTTTTGGCCGCATTGAAATTGCAAAATGCACGGTAATTATTAATTGCGTGTCATTTTCACGGTGTATTTGATGATTCATTGGCTTTTATATATATTTTTTATTTTTATTTTTGTAGTGAACTTGATACATCAACATGTGAATTAGAACTTGTTTCCAGTTTATCAGGTCAAGTGCATTCATTACCGACAACAAAAACCACTGTCACAGCACTAACGGTAGTTTGATTTTTAACCTTCTTTCTCGAAATGGTACATAAACATTTATAATTATTACTTTTAAACTTTGCATTGAAGGTTGATGGCGCTGCATGGAAGGACAATAAAATTGTTTTAAACTTACCCGAATTTGGATCACCGTCAATAATCAAAAACTTAACTTTGACATATACAACGAAATCTATTCACAGCGACAAACATAACGTTGAATTACCTTTATATAGCAATTCAGCGCGTAATACATTTATTTGCTCATTAAATGTAGCAGCTGGTGCCTCTTATGATTCAGTCATTCTGTCTGGAGCCGCACTTATTGTGGCTGACATTTGAACATTTGACAACAAAAAAATAATCACAATAAATAGCTATTATCATAATAATATAAGTCCTGCATGATTTTTCAAAAAATTGGCTTTTCAATAAAAAGAATTTGTGTTTATGAAAATTCGAATGTTTTCATTACCTTTTATAAGTTACTTACTATTAGGATTGCTACGATAGCGATGTTTCAACTTTCAAGCTTCACAATAAGGAATGCGATTTTTTTCATTCTGATTTCACCAGGTGATACAGAAAATTGAGCAGTATTTGTAAATCGAAGAAAAAAAAATTAATTATTTGTTTCATTTTTCGCGACTTTTTCACCATTTACATGGGAGGCTTGTATGAAAAACACGGACCGCTGAAATGACACTCTCGTATATCCGTACATATATTGTATTGGTCATTTCAGCGGTCTTCCGTGATGATATGATAAGTATGTTGGATTTTTGTTAATTTGTTCGTAAACATAAAAACAAATTCTTCTCTTTGAAATATATAGTAACGTTTTTTCAAGCTGAAAATATGAGAAAAAAGCAATTGAATTATTTATACATAAATCAATACAAACGTTTATTATAAAAAAAAATGTTAATATACAATAGTGTACAGATGTGCTTTTGTTCATATTATACTATCTGAATGAAATGACGGGATATCTTAAAATATTTTCTGTATTTTATACGAATAAAAATAAATGCACTTTTCCCTATCTCTGTCTCTGATTCTCTCTGTCACAAGTGATTTATACATGATGGCGTGCGCCTTTTTGAAAATATACACAACAACAAAAAAACTGATAGCTGAAATTTAGAAACATGGCCTACAATATAAATCTATAATAGCTATCTTTTAAACTGTATAAACAGACGGCATGTGGTCGTTTTTTCTCCGAATAAATGTCGTTAATTTCATCGACAATATCCTTAATGTAACGTTTATATTTGGGGAATCGATCAATTACAAATGAAATCTCATTGTCAATATCTTTGGCATTGGTTTTGCCTGGCTCAATCGCACTAATAAGTGCTCGAATGATTGATGGCTGAAGTTCCACCACGATAACAACAACTTCAACGCGTTTATTAAATAACACCAGCGATTCGGACATATGATTGTTTAGGAAACTCTCTTGTCGCTTCTTTGCGCTGGCCGTCATTTTTTCAATGGTACTATAAATGATGTCAACGGCCGGCAGTGTGGGTTCAGCTAAATTGGCATTACTACGATTGTATTTATTTGATTCGCTTAGGCTGAATGCCTGTTGAAAATTATTTGATTCGGTGGGTTCTGGTCGTAATGCTTTCGTAATATACACAATTATTTCGTCACGATTCAAAAGTTTCTCTTCGAATCGTTCATTTATCCATGATCGCACACGTAGAATACCATCTTCGGTATAAACAACATAATAAATGGCACCAAGATCTTTTGCCATATCTTGACCATCTTCTGGATTATTGGCTTGAACAACGGCACATTGAATGCCCGATGACCAGAAAGCACGTAAAATTTGTGTAATATCTCGGAAATTTGGTCGTATCCCTGATATACAAACAACAACATCGGTCGTTTTTGTGTCTTCGGTGTGTGACATATTCAATACACTCAATATTTTATCCAATGCAAACGATAGGCCAGCACCACTGATCGCTCGATTTGAAATGGTTGGGGCACGATTATGTACTTCTTTTCTACATTTAAAAAAGAACCAAACGTTGACATTCATTGGAATCAAATACAAAATGACGTAACGATGTAACAAAATACTCACTGATATTCCGATAGCATGTAGTCGTATCTACCGCCAACACCAAGCATGTATGGAATTCCTTGGTGAGTTTTATTCTTGAATTCTCCTAATAATTGCCAAATTATGCCACCGTTCTTTGCTTGTTCATAGCCCACACTAAATCCAGCATACAAACTAATTGGACACTGTACGAATATAAAATTGATAACATTTTTTAAAAAAATGAAAGTTTTCATTTAAATTATTCGTTGTGGCTTACCATAACACCAAGACTTTGTGCTAACGAAACTACATTTTCAATTTCTTCCATTGCAGCGCGTGCCATTTTCGATGGTTCACTGTGTCCTTTTATTAAATTTCTCAAACTGGATCCGTTGGCATAGTGTGATTTTGGTGCGCCCAATGGAATTTCCGTTAGCAACATCTCTAGCAAATTGTTGGCACGTTTTGATGATTCCAATAAAGCGGTTATTGTTGAATGCAATTGAAATTTGGAAATTCGTCGATTGCTGAAATCAAGAACGGCGACAAAAATGTCGTTGAACTTTTCTTGAGGCACATTGTGATTTTGTAGAATGGCTACTAATAATGACGTATGATTCAAACGAATCGATAGATTTTGTTGTTTTAATGCTGGTAAAATGTTGGTCAGCTCATATGCAATGGACATGAGTTCAGCATCGATCAATCGATTTTCTGTGCGAAAAAGAAAATATTTTAATTAAGCAAATGCGAATAAAATGTCGAAATAAAATAGTACGTACTGCCTTCGGTCGCCGGATATGGGGAAATAATATCGAATGCACATTCGTACAATTGTTTTGGATGAAAATTGAATACTTTCTTTTCACGATAAACACGTCCAATCGAATATCGTCGCATTAAATTGATGCCACTCATTGCAATATGTTTGATGAATGGTACACGTAGATCGTATGGCAAAACAACCACACTTCCAGAATGTGTCATCAAACGAACGGCTGTATTTTTCGTTGATTTTACATATGGCGACAACAATGGTGTAACTACTTCAATTGCGCCATGTCTTTCGAATAATGACACGATTTCACGCTGAAATTTAAAAAAAAATAAATTTTCCTTTCATTGAATCTCTTTTTGGACATTTCATCATAAACACATACTTTTACGTATTCCAATTTTGGATTGGTTTCCACCATTCCCAGTTGATAGGTGAGCTCAAGTATTGTGTCACTTTGTTGCGCTAAACATCGTGCCACCAAATGTTTGTACGATTTACTTTGTGGATTGGCTAATACATTTCGCAACATTTCTTGTAATTCGTTGTCTTCGAGACGGGCGGGTGGTAACAGATCAGATGCAAGCAATTCTTCAGCTGTTGGACGCTTGTTTTGATCCCATGTCAATAGCCATTTTATCACCTATAAACGAATCGCATTTGTGAACATTTATTCATTTCGTTTTTCTTCATTTTCAAAATATTTTACTTTACAACATACTTTTACTTGTTGCTTATAATTATTGTCATTTTCCATCATGGCGGGAATGATTACTTTGGACGATCGTAGTGCGGCTAGGGTTTCAACTCGTTCCATTCCAGTTGAAAAAGGTCGATGGCACATTTCAAAAAATATAATTCCCAGTGAATACAAATCAACCTTTTGATTATATATTGATTTCGCTGCTTTTCCCATAAGCTCTGGGGCTACATAAAGAGCAGTGCCCACTTTGCCCGTATGTGAACTACCAATATCGCCTCGGTTATATGATAAACTCACTTCATGATTTGGTTGTAATGCCAAAAAGCTGGTGGTGGCCAAACCAAAGTCACCGATTTTCACTTGATCACGTGAATCCAAGAAAATATTGACTGGCTTAAGATCCCTGTAAAAAATATCCATTGAGAACAGATTTGTTTTGCTCCTATAAATTTAAAAAAGCAAGACATACCGTCAGGTAACGTTTGCAGCTTAATTGGTACATTTCGACTTTGTGGCATTTCTTTCTAACTAAAATAGAAGTATACAATCACAGCGCTGATGACGTTAACTGACGGTATGCCCCTGAAAAAAAACCTTAAATTCTTTTCTATCCAACCAACCTGTGTATCATGCCTTGCGAGTGAATATGAGCCAAACCTTCAATAATCTCACGGAAAAGTCGCCATAATCGTTCGGTATTGTTGAACAAGTCATTATCAATGGCTGTGCGTAGTGTACTTTTTTCACAAAACTCCATTTGTATGTACATAATTTGTACTTCATATTTCGGTGATCGAATAATTTCTTTGTCGCTCGAATTTGCCTGAGATTCATCATCAATATCATCGTCGTCATCATCATCATTTTCATCGTCATCATCTTCAATCACTTCACCATCCGAGTTCACAAACTCAATGCCATCCGAACTGAATTCATTGTTGTGTCTGCGCAAAAACGTACAATTTCAATCATTTCGAAATAAAAAATTTTTTTTTTTTTTTTTTCAACTTACGGCGAATCCATCCAATCTGATGTAGTTTCGTCAGGTTTTGATATCACGCATAGTTGATTGTCACTTTCAATGCTGGCCGTAGCACTCTCATTTTCTTCATCGATCTCTCCATATTTCTTAAGATCTGATTCGTTTCCATTTTCAATCCAACTGTTAAAATATCGTACGACATTTTCGTGGTTCAAACGAGATAGCAGCTCGACCTCTCTCGTCATCTTTTTAAATATGTGCCTCGACCGTGTGTGTAATGGAATTCGTTTAATGGCATATTGCCGATTGTCGAGTATATTTTTTACTTTTAAAACATCACCGTAAGCACCTTTACCTGCGAAGGGGGAGAGGGGTGATCACAAAATAAGATATAAAAATAATCAACGAAATAATGGAAATATGGAAATGAAATTGAATATTTTACCCAACCATTGTAGCACTTCGAATTCAGTTTGTAGACGAGACCGACTGGTCGGAATAAGTGATGTACGCATCGATAATTCGGTAACTTTTTTCTCTGGCAAAACAACAATTGCATGCGTATTATGTTCACCGTTTGAAAGATCTGGCGATAAAAATGGATGTTCCAATAAATCCGAAGCGGTTAATGTTCGTTCCGATTTACATTGTTCAATGAAATCAAACATATCCGGGTTTGGCAATTGTAAAAGTGATTCAACCAAATGACCCAAAGCCGGAAGATCACCGCCACTGTGTTTATTGTCATTTGGTGCGCCCATCAGGTACATCAAATATGACACAAACCAAAAATCGGTGACGCGACATGTACCGGAATTATCCAAAAATACTGAACAATCATCGATGCTGCTGTGTGATATGCCCTTGTTATGCAAATAGATTAGTGCATCTAAAACGCCTTTTGCAATAATACTAACACCCGTATAGGTCCATCCAAGTGAATTTGATATACAATTTACACTTGTGCCATGCACATAATCCTGTACCAAATATACAATAATGCCTTCCTTACGGCGTAAACATAAAACCGCTTCGTAGGCTACTAAATTTTTGTGACGTATATGTGACAATTGCATTACTTCACGTTCAATACAAGTGATAATCTCATCAACAGTGTGCCCACTACATTTTGTTGACTCAGTTTTACAATTTATCGGACATTTTGACTCCAATTGCGTATATTTGATATTCCATTCGGTTAGATAAAGCAATTGACCCGTTTCAGAATCAATGCCAGAATATGATATAGAACCGTTTTTTGAATGACCTAACAGTGAATAAACTCGTAAATTATTTAAAAATATTGAAATTAGGCGACAAAAATCCGAAAAATAATACATACTCAGACAACATCCCCTTCGTATTTTTCGCCCAACAGTTGTTAGGTATAAGTCTTCACTGCTTAAATGAAGTTCACAACCATTTGGATATGTTCCATCCATTCCATGATCAACAATTTCACCTGAACTGTTTGGCCTATGTTTTGGACTTTGTTCGCTCATACTTCGCCTGCTATCTCGATGCCATCGATTTTCTTGGCGCAACAGCTCTTTTCTCTTGAGTACTTCATTGCGTATCTTTTGTTGTTCGTGATTTAACCGCTGTGTTTGTTGTTGTAATAATGCTTCATCTCTTTTATTCCGTTCAATAAGCATTTGATCATAAAAACTGCCACATGGCGCCTTATTGTGTTTATGAAGATATGCTTGTACAATTTGGGCTAAGTCGTATATGACCACCTCGCCCTTCTTCTGCTCACATAATTCACTCAATTCTTTAAGCAATTCGTTTTTTTGTATATCTGACAGCCCCTTCGTTTCTTCCAACGAAATTTTCGGCGAACTAAGCAAAATACAAACAAAATAAAGAAAAAAGATATTTTTTTGAAATAAAAATCGATTGCGCATTTCTCAAATTAACATATTTTAAGTAATTTGTTCGATGACATTGTGTGCTGGCATTTAAACCATATGGATAAATATTGCGTTATCAGCATATAAAGTAAATATCAGCACAACGTTTTTTTTCGTCATATAAATTGCCAATGGACGTAACATTCGATTTCGATTGCGTTATCATAAATTAAATACAAAAACCCTACACTTTTGGATATTTTGATGGGCAAATTATATGCAAATTGGTTTTGGCGTATGCTTCATGAGTGCCTGACGATCCTTTTTGCGGCAACAACGTAATTACTATATCCAATGGTCTCCATACGGTATTTCTTCGGTCACGTAAATCGCATACATCATTGCCATAAATTGACTGGGCAGTTAAAAAGAATGAAATCAATCAATTATTATGAACGCAATTAAAACGTATTTGATTTAACCCAAATCTATATAAATTAAATCTTACTTGAATGACTTCTAATTCATTTTCTTGCTGCTGGCGATAGCTTTCTTTATGTTCCATCATTCGAACGTTAAATTTTTAACAATTATTGTAATTACATTTCACAAATTTTGAATTTTAAAACCGACTCGATGCAATCACTTTCGACTTTTTTCCGACGCTAATCCCTCTTCTTTTTTTTGTTGTTTGTTTGATTTTGTGTTTGTATCGCTTGGAACGCTGTCAGTATGTGAGAATCTAAACTTGACATTTATGCGCAAATTTCGTCAGCTGTTAAGCCGATACCGTCTCATTTTACGTTCATGCGTGTGTTTGACATCTCTTGTGTTAAGTGCGTTTGTATGAGAATTTAAGTTGGATTTTAACGGATTGCTCCAAATGGATTTTGTTTTTCAATTTTTATCCTCGCAAAATTGTAGTGTGATTTGAATGACAAAAATACAAGGTATTTTATTATAGAAAAGCGCCTTTCATTCTACACAATCAATTTACATAGATTCAGGCAACTGCATTACCAAATATATGAGCTTCATATATGAATAAAAAAAAATCGATTGAAATGTATTTGATGCATAAATATATAGATTTTGATCGATTAAAATTACGATTCATTCAATTTCATAGAAAATTCAAATCACAGAATAAAAATATGAAAAAGCCGGTGAATTTGTTGAAGGAAAAAAAGATTTGACGTTTTTACACACATACATACAGTGTCATTGGGTTGAATATGAATATTAGCCATTGCCGCGCCTGTCAAATCCATACACATGCATGGTTTTGGTAATTCGTATGCTCTTTGCTCATCATGTTTCGCATAAGAAATTTAAAAAATAAATCCCTTCATTCAATAAATTTCATTCGAAAATGTTCACATCAGCCGAGCTATTCAATAACTGAAAAAAACGCCGAAAAAATCGTATCCATAAATCTGGGCAATGAGTAAGTAATGTGATGAAATTTGTGTTTTTTTTTTTTGGTTATGTTTAAATTATGATAAATAGATGCGGTTTATTTTCATAAATTAGTAAAAATATCAAATTATCAACGGGAAAATATGCTCGGTTTGCCAATGGAACGGGCGTTTGTGAAGTGGGAAAGACATCGATGATGGTTACGGCTGTTTCAAAGGATACACCAAATAATTCCTCATCAAATTTTATGCCATTGACTGTTGATTTTCGCCAAAAATATGCGGCCGCCGGACGAATTCCAACAAATTTTTTGCGACGAGAATTGGGTGTTTCAGAACGTGAAATTCTTTCATCACGTTTAATTGATCGTTCGGTTCGGCCATTATTTCCAGCCCATTTTAATTGTGAAACTCAACTTGTGTGTAATATGCTTGCATTAGATTCTGTTTATATTCCCGATGTGCTTAGCATAAATGCAGCATCGTTTGCATTGGCAATCAGTGACATTCCATGGAATGGGCCAGTCGGTGCAGTTCGATTAGGTTTAATTGACGAAAAAGTGATTGTAAATCCATCACGTTTCGAACTACAATCGTCCGCTTTGGATTTAGTTCTAACAGGCACATTAGATAAATTAATAGTTATGATTGAAGGAAAGGCGAATTCAATTCCAATACCATTTATTTTGAAAGCAATCAATACTGGCAGCAAAGCATGTCACACTATCTGCGCAGCAATTGATGAATTTCAAAAGAAATATGGTAAAAAAAAACGTGAAGTTAAAATACCCACACCAATTGATTCGGAAATCGTTGATGCCATTCGATCCATGTGTGAAATGCGACTGAATGAAGTTTTTCAAAATTCTTCACATGATAAGATGAGTCGAGATCAGGCCATCAAGGGAATACGTGACGATGTTGTTAATCGTGTATGGTCAAGTTATTCAAGCGTTGACCCTGCCATTATTACCGATGAATTTAATAAAATTGTGAAGAGTATTTTTCGTGAGCTTATTTTTCTGAATAAACGATGCGATGGACGTGAATTAGATGAACTGCGTCCTATTTCGTGCGAAGTAAATCTACATGAACCATTGCATGGATCGGCTTTATTTCAACGTGGTCAAACTCAAGTTATGGCCACCGTTTCATTAGATTCCACTGATAGCTCTATGAAATTGGACACATTGTCTTCATTAAATACGTAAGTGAATATAATTAAATTGTCATTTTTATTGAAAAATTCAAATTGATTTGGTTGCATTTTCTTTCTTTCGTTTCATCAAAAGTGGCGTAAAATCGAAAAACTTCTTTCTTCACTATGAGTTTCCACCATATGCGACGGGCGAAGTGGGCAAAGTTGGTACAGTTGGAAGACGTGAAATTGGCCATGGTGCACTTGCTGAAAAAGGCTTACTGCCAATCGTTCCGAACAATTCACCGTTTGCAATGCGCTTAACAGCAGAAGTATTAGAATCAAACGGTAGAATATATTCGATATGTGAAAATAACTTTATTATTAATTTAATTGAATGATTCTTCTAATTCAATTATAGGTTCCAGTTCAATGGCAACCGTGTGTGCAGGTACAATGGCATTGATGGATGCGGGCGTTCCAATATCATCACCAGCAGCTGGAGTTGCCATGGGCTTAGTAACCAAATATAATCCTGAAAATCCGACTGAACTTACCGACTATCGCATTCTAACCGATATTTTAGTAAGAAATTTTCTTTTGATTTTTTCAATGGCCATCATCAGAAATAAAAAAAATATCACTATTTAATTTACGCTTAGGGAATTGAAGATTACTTGGGCGATATGGATATGAAAGTAGCAGCAACAAAAGAAGGTTTAACAGCGATACAGGCCGACATTAAAACGCATGGTGTACCAAGATTAATTATAACGAAAGCTATAGAACAATCAATAAAGGCAAAGAATAAAATATTACATATTATGCAAAACTGCATAAGTGCGCCGCGAAGTTCGCGAAAAGAATGTTGGCCAGTGACAAAAGAATTGAAAATCGATCCAAATCAGCGCAGTCAACTGATTGGACCGGGTGGTATGAATTTGAAAAAAATCTTCCTCGAAACTGGTGTTCATTTATCAGAAACCGAACCAAATACATACAATATTTTTGCACCGTCGCCGATGTCGTTAAACGAAGCAGAGGAAATGATAAAAGAGCAATTAACGTCAAAGAATAAACCAAATTTTGAATTTGGTGGAATTTATGCAGCAAAAATTGTAGAAATGAAGGAAAATGGTGTGATGGTCAAAATGTACGATGAAATGAACCCAACATTTATCCATGTAGCTCAACTGGATAGTAGACGTGTAAGTGTTCAACAACAAAACTCTTCTTTCACTTACATACAAAACATATATAGGCCTTTGTTGGTCTCTGTATTTTTCGACTTATGAACGCTAACATTCGTTTTATGGTTTTTGTTTTCTAATTTCTTCATTCAATTAGGTTGCAAATCCGGAAGCATTGGGATTCGAAGTAGGTCATGAAATCAAAGTGAAATATTTTGGCAATGATCCTGTTTCTGGATATATGCGATTATCGAGGAAAATGATTACGACTACTTCCATCACCTGTTAATAGATCTTAAAAAGTAAACGGATGTACGATTCATTTTTATTTTGATTTAGAATATAATAAAAAAAACACGATTAAAAATCAAATGCACATGTGTTTTCAGTTTCACAAATGTCATTCCGGTCGTTGATGAACTTGGTTATTTCTCGATCGTTGCTGGGTTTTATCGATTTGAAGTAACCTTGAGTTTAATAACATTGCTGAATAATAATTCAAAACTATGTTTGACAATTCTATGCTATTTTGTATTTTTTCTACCACTTTTTCGCAGTCGGGTTTCATTCGATTCAGCTACAAACTGTACGCTTATGTTGTCAATCACATTTAAAACCATATGTCGACATGCACTTGATGACATGTATTCCATTTGAAAACCAAACGAAACATGTGCCATTAAAACGTACAAAAATCGAAGCTCCACACATTTAACAATGATACAAACGTTAAATTGTTCGTCTTGTATTGATTATGTTTGTATTGTGGTGTTCATGGATTCATAGCGATTTCGTCGAATTCAAAAAAACTAAGATCAATAGCGCACAACAATTCTAGTGTTGGGCCTCTATGAGTTTCATGTTATAATAATTCAAATAGAATACAATGTGTTACATATTATTTTGGTTACATGAACGATTCGTCAAGTGAACGTACAACCCGCGATATCATCCATGAATGTTTGGCCGTTGCTTAAATACCGAAACCGACCACAAACTTCACATTGCTCCAAGTTGAAATAATGTTGTTGTTATCGCTGCTCCTCCGTTCGGTTTCTGTTGCTGCTGCTGCTACTGCTACTGATGTTGTTGTTATTGTTCGTTGCTCCTACTATTCTAACTCATCTCGACAGTATGTGGAAGAGATTGCGCGCGCAAACCAAACCAATCCACACACGATACATACTACTCTCCATCGTAATGTGCATGGCTATCCGTTTGTTCCGTTGAAACAAGCAGGGTATTTGAACTTTACGGAATCATTTCTTTCAATTTATATGCAAACATTTTGATTTCACTCTCAGTCTAGTTCAACAATCGGTATGACGCGACTGTAATATGTCTGCTGCTCTAACGGTTGTTCATCATTGGTATCACACATATTTGATAAACTTTGAATTTCCCATTTCCATAAGCATTTTTTTATTATTCAAAACCAAATCAAATTTAAAAGCAACCAACTAATGCAAAATAAAGACCTGTTTTTTTCATACGCTAAACAAGAATTTTTCAATATATTCTTTTCTATATAAAAAAAATCAATAAATTTTAACAAATAACAGTAATATAAATAATAATAACTAACTGAGTAAAAATAAAATAAAATTCAAAGTTCACACAGAAAAGTCAGCGAAAAAAGAATAATTGAAACGAGAAAAATCGTTTTAGTTGGAATAATTCAATGGTTTTTCTGAAAATAACGATCGCTTGAACATCAAAATGGTTGAGATGAATAACGATGTGAAAACGATGGGCATTCCAATAAATATGCAGCGAGTTTTTAATCCACTAATCGAAGCGGCAACACTTCGATTGTCAGACTCACAAATAGGAAATTTTAATGTAGCTATCGAAGATTTGAATGTAAGTTATGCTCATTGGCTTTATTGTATTCTATCACGATCGGTGGATATTTTTTTATTTCTCTTCAATTATTTCATATCTTATACATATATTGACGAGATGTTTCATTTTGTTTCAAATATATTCTCATTGATGTCATTTATCTATTTATTTATTTATTTTTTATTTTATCTGAACCAACTGCAGGAAACCAGTCAATCATCTGATAATGGATCGTATGTAACGAATCGAGAGTTTGAGCTTCTGTATCGTCATTCTGTGACATTAACGGCCGTTTACTGTGTGGCTTATGTGATAGTTTTTATTGTTGGTTTAATCGGGAATAGTTTTGTTATAGCGGTTGTCTTGCGATCGCCACGAATGCGAACCGTTACCAATTATTTTATAGTGAATCTAGCTGTTGCTGATATTTTGGTCATAGTATTCTGTTTGCCGGCCACACTGATGAGCAACATTTTTGTCCGTAAGTATTTTTATTTTTATTTTTTTTTCTTCTTCTTCTGCGCCCTTTATCAATTGGCAATGGAATAATGAAAAAATTAAAAATCACATGAAATTATCAGTTCATAATTTTATTTTCTCTCTCAAATATTGAAACGAGTGCATTTTCAAAATTATAATAATGTTATTTAAGCAGGAGGCATTTCTTAAAAAATTATATAATTTGCAATATAAACGCGATCAAAGGTGGAAAAAAAGAAAAAAAAACATGAATAGCAAAAGATGAAAAAAGAATATACATAAAATAAGATTGTAAAAAGGCGAATAAAGGGTCAACCAAAACATAGGAGCAAATTTTTTTTTTTGCTGTAACTATCTATTCGGTGTATTGTCTTATCGAACAAATTACAAATGATGCATATATAACGGTATATTGGAAATAATAGTATTAACGGTTGTACACCATTGCCATGGTATGTAAACAAATGGAAACGACAATGTCGGAAAAATTATTCAGACAAATACACAGGAAACATACAACAAAATCCAAGATGTATGCTTTCCGTGGAAGGACAAGTGATGGAAGGCGAACGTGCGAACGTGAAAGCAAGATAGAATGAGAAAATCACATATACAAGCATGCACATATACTCGTTCGCGATTAGTCTCGACGAGAGACATATGGATAGACAGGGCTCAGCCACTTCAGTGTTAAATGTAATGGGGTAAGAGAGAAATACAATCAAAACACGGTCTTATTAGTCTGTGCAGCCAACGAGAGTGAGCCGAGTGCATGTAATGCATTCTTGATGCACAAACACCCCAAAGCATACACTATTTCTCTTACTCTTGTTTATCGTTCTCGTTTACTCTCTCGTAACTCCCCAAAAATACAGGTGAACGCTACGAATGAATGCCATAACACGAAAAAAAACTATACTATATGTAAAATATCAGAAAACACTCTGCCGCGTATCATTTTGTGTACTATAAAAGAGGCCTTATGTATTACATTTCAAACGAAAAACTGTATATACACAACATTCAAACGCAAACACTGATATAAAATAGGAATACAGCTATAGTCATTTCAATAGCACACTCTATGTGAAGCATGATGTATGTTTGTGTGTGTGATTTTCACGAATGTAGTCGTATAAATAACACATGATGGAAAGCAGCAATTGTGTAGGAAAAAAGTAGGTCGCCAGTGTGTGCCGATGACCTACCGTAGAATGTTTTTCTCATGGCTTTTCACGCAGGTATATTATGCATTTTGTGGCTGCTATTGCTTCTGTCGCTGCCACTACTGCCGAGTCTCTCTTTGTGTAAGAGGGAAAACTATAAAAAGTGCTCGTCAAATATATACAATTTCTTTCTCATTCTATCGTATCAATACTATTTATTATATTATGCCATTCGAAACGCCGTGAAATATCGTCGTTATTTTTGTTGTTGTGGTTTTTCTTCTTAGTTGGATAGTAATTTAGAAATGTCTTATCTCTGGAATCTTGCGATTTGGCATGCGAATGTGAATATTTTATTTGAATATGCACCAAACGGAAAAATATATAGGTAAACGCTATCTTTACCACAAAATAGAAAAAAGTTACCAACAACACGATGTACAAAAATATTGTGGTCGAATTTGTTTATTTTGGAGTCAACGAAAACATCTCGTCGTTATACCAAATATGTTGTGTGTGTATCTGTATGTTTGAAGCTGAATGCTCAACATTTGGAACATGCTCATGTACGGAAATACAACGTCTTGATTTCCTTTTCCAATCAAATTCGAAAAACAAACGAGCAACAGACTTGCAATTGGATGTTTGCACATAATCACTTTTGCATTGAAATGCAATTTTGCTGAAGCTTTTACAATAAAAACGACAATTCACAAAGGAAGTCGAAAAAAATATTTATAATAAATAATGTAATGGGGTCGACACAGCAATTGAATATAGGAACATTCCAAATGATTGAAGATAATTCATTGAATATTTATTTCAAGTTTTATTAACATTTATTGAAGGCAATACAGAAAGGAAATATCATGTGATTATTCGAAAATTCGAACGGTTAATGAGTTCGCTGCATGCAGGAACAAAGGAACAATTTGTAATGCAAATTCACCCATAACCAGGCACAAATTCACGGTCATATTTGGACCCGAATTTGTGTGTGGTTTTCACAGTTGCCATAGCATAACATTCAGGTGTGAATACACGAAAAAGGAAAAGAAGAACGACAATCATTAGTATCAATTGAATTGTATATGATTTTTTTTTATTAAAAACTTTACTCACCTATGAGCTCCTTCCCTCCATACGTTATTATGAACACAAATTGTGTCAAGCCTAGCTACGCTAACTAATCGTTATAATATTTGTTTTATCCAATAATTTATGGATTCAATGCTGCTGCTTGTCACTTGACATTGTTTGCATTCGGTGGACTTCTCAGCGAATCAGGCACTAGTACGCAAAGCATCCGACAAAGTCCTATGTAATTTGAAGCAAAAACTTTAAACAATGAATTAGCGACTAAGTCCGGTAGTCCAGCAATTGTCTTCGCTTTCGATGCCTTTTGTGTTCACTGGAAATCATTCTTGGCAATTCACGCATGTTTTTGATGTCCCCCATTCATCTTCCATTTTCACCACTGAATGGCCAAGTTTCTTGACGCTCACCAAAAATTTCCGCGATCCTAGACATCTTTTTAGTCTCTTCAAACCAAATGGCCGATTGGATGGCATCTCCGATGCAGCAAAAAAAATCATTGACGGCATGTTGTTGGACTCTGTTTACCAGAAGTTTGAGTTTACCAGAAGAATCGCGTGTTTGGTATTGTGATGTTTTTCTCCAAAATTCAAATTGATGAAAAATAATGAATTTAATCCGCACCAATCGAAAAATGCCAGGAAGATGTTAGTTGCATTTCGAAAATTCAAAATACTAATTCTACATGCATATAATCTCCGTTCCGTTTGACACGAAAATGACCACCAGAATGGGCCAAAACGTTACATTTTTCAACGTTTGAATGTAATAAAAATATTACAAATGAGTTCGCTAGCATTAAATGCATCTGGTACAAATAAAATAAGCGAAACTAAAAGATTTATTGATTTGTTTTTTTTCCTCTCTCGATATTGTTGGTTTTGCGTTGTGTTTACGTGTAATATGTGTGCAATGTGAAATAAAATGGATTAGTTTATATTTTCGTTCGTATCGATAATAAATCAATGTAACAAAACGATTTTGTACACGAACAGTAGAATGTGTGGTGGTCGATCCGTACTGTTGGTTTGGTTTATGCGTTGCACATATATTGCTCCATTGGAGAAGAAGAAGAAGCAAAACACATACATTCAATTCACAATTTCGTTTTCAAAAGTTAGACACGGTAGCATACAAACAATTGGACAACATGATCAAATATATATTTATGCTGTGCTTTATCAAGCCAGACAATCTTCATTGGAGCAAGATGGCAACAAGACAAGATACACACCATCAGTGTAATATCTAGGGACATAGAAAAACTGCCAGTTGTTTACTTGCATTGATGTGAACAAGATACGACAAAATCGTCTATATTATTTAAATTGAATATAGTTTGCCTCGTTATATATCCATCGAGAATATGCACAAATCGACACACACAAACAAAAAATTTTAATTGAAAACGACGATTGCAAGGCTGATCAGTTTGTTTGATTGGATGGTCAGCTACTTCAATTATATTCCTACCGAAAAAATGCATAATATATAGCAAAACAGTCGCAACAACGATAGCTATTTACCTGGCTGCAATTGCTGTATTCCCATTCGGTTGTGAAGTTTAAGCTTGGATATACCTTTGTGTCCCTTTTGATTTGCTTTCTCTTCCATCGTCCTGCTTCGTTGAAGTAGTTTCATTTCGTTGTGAATTTACACTCACAGTTGTGCGAGTGCACCCCATTATATTGCACATTCGGTGCAAAATAGTGCTAAATGCAAAAATATTGTATATAAATATAAGAATCTGTACAATACTACGAATGGTGATGATAGCAGACAGTGAGGAACAGATTATAGCTGGATGAGGGGAGAGAAAGGGAGCGCACGTAAAATTGCAGAGAAGTTGTAACGGCGGGCCGCAACACCAAGGAAGGAAACAAGGAGAAAATATAGATCGATGACCTATTTTCAAGTGGTGTGTGCACACACTATTGAATTCGGCTACACACGGAAACGAGACGAAGTACACACAGTTCATATATTTACGATTTTCGTGTGTGTCGTGCAGTTTTCAGTATTTGTATACAGTATATAGAAGCGAATGCGAGCAATAAGAAAATGCAAAAGGTATATAAGGTACACATTTTTCGATGCGAGTCCTGTGTGCTTGAGTCAGCAACGTGTGATTATAAGCTTAGATTGTACCCCATTGCACAAACCGTACCATATTTATCTCTCTCTCACACACTCACTCATACTGTGCTTGTTTACTTTGCCGTGCAACTTCCAAAATATATGTAGTAATACACAGAGCCTGCTAAAATGTTCAAATCGGCTACTAAAACTTTTCTCTTGCTATGCTCTATGTTTACTTGCAGTACACACACACAATGTGTAACAAAGTTTCATTTTTTCTTGATTTCATTTAACGGGCTTTTTGTCTTCCATTTAAAAAGTATATGAACATGGTTAGGAACTCACAAAAGCTTTTCTAACCCCATTACTACACCGAAAATTGGACACTAAAATGGTTTTATAAAGCTTTTTTTTTTCGATGTGAAAAGAAATTGTTATTTTCATTCAGACATTATAGTAAGATATTTTCAGCCAGATGAATCAGTTCAGCCAGATATCGTCAGGCGCTGAAATTGAGTGAAAACTATAGAAGTGATTGCTATGGTTATAATTGAACTCACATTGCCACAATCATTATAACAATCACTTTTATTTTTTTCACTCCATTTCAGCGCTTGTCTGTTTTCATTAAATAAATCTATTCAATAGATATTCATTAAAT